TGGCGTACCCAACTGGCATGATAGAAAGGGGGAGGGCGAGCAAACAGAAGCAGAAAATAGAAGGTAGGCCCCACCTGCAATTGATGAAGCCGCCAACCACAATCCACAACTGTACCACTCAAATGCACAGACAATGCTAGTGTCTGGCTGTTAATTGTCCCACACCACTCCAGGCAATAACAATAGCCGCCCAGAGTGTAAGACATTTCTGGGTCAAAGCCATCTCCACCGAAGCGAGGAGGTAACACTTAACTAAACTATGTAAATGCCACAACGACAAAAGCTCCAAGGGAATTGTACTAAACAACATCGTAGGATTCCGACTGTAAAAAGGAAAAGTAATGAGGAGGGACTGGGCAGGTACTGCCCTGTCATCTGAGGAATAATGCGGCTAGTACAACAAGATGAAACTTGGGAAGATCATCAGTCTAACCCAAGTGTGTTTTGTATCGTGAGAACTAAGGACTCAATTAACCTAACAAATATCAGCTGGTCCTAAGAACAACATGAGTGATCCCTCCAAATACAATGTTCCATCCCCCCAATCGAACTTGAAACCTGCGAGTAGACAATAGACAGGAAGCCATAGATATTTTACTAAAAGGGGCTTGTTAGCGACTGTGATGAAGAGCTCAAAGTGCCAGCATCATGAAATATTCAGCAAGCAACAAAACAGTGCAAACAAGTAATCCGCTACGCAATATAAATAGACCTCAACTCCAAGAACCCCAGCAACTACTGAGCGAACTCAGATATCTCTCCTGGAATCTCCAGTATTATAGCCAATCGTGGGTGCGAAAGAAACACTCTGTGGTGAAGTGACTGCAAGAATGAGGAAAAGTACTTAGAACAAAGCATGAAGAACCTATCCTCCTTGGCCATACCAGCCTCCTTATATATTGTTCTTCCCGTCCCAAGCCATGTGACCCAAAGTGGTTACATGTGTAAAGCCTAATCATAACAAATAAATCATATGACCAAAGTAGTCATATGCTCAAAACCCATGACCTCATAGTAAGATTATGTGTGAAAACTCATAAGCCAATCATAATGCAATAAACAAGTCATATGACTCCAAGTAGTCACATGTGCAAACATATGAGCTCATAACAAGGTCATGTACTAAACATAAATCATATGCGCAAGGTATTCCTACAAGGCACACTTGCAAGACACACTCGTTAGGCACATGTCCAGTGACTCATACTCAAGTCATGTGCAAAACATAACAAATGATAACATAACAAGTCATATGACCCGAATGAGTCATACATGCGAAACAATAACATACCTATGTTTCATAACCATGCATCACATGAAAACATTTTCCTTACCAAGCCACATTCATGCTATAGACAGGAATCTTTATTGACAATGTAAATTTCATATGGTCAAATTCTCAAAGTAAAGATTAAAAACATCCACTTAGAACAAGTGATAATCCACCTAATGCAAAGACAGGTCTGCTAGAGCGCCAATTGCAAACTTGAACCAACATGTTAGTAGACTTCCAGACAAGAATTACCAGGTGGATCAAGAGCATGTTTGAGAACAGAATTGTAAGAGATCAACCAATATGTGGTGAGAGCACTGTTAGATATGCAGACAATCTCAATCTGGTAAGCTGAGAGTTTAGAATTAATCAGTAGCTGGCTTGAACAATACCAACTAGTACCTACTACACACTTAACCGTAGAGAATGTAGTTGGAAAGAGTTACAACGAGTGGAGGCACAAGATTTGCTTGCACATATAAACGGCTCAGATCAGGTTAGCATGCCAGTTGATCCCCCTCCACAGGTAGATGAATGTAACATTGAGGAAGAGGACGAAGTTGAATTTCTTAGTAGTAGTATATAATCACGCATCTATAGCATATACTACAATGTACTAGTATCATGCTGATCAAAATAGTCTATAACAAGGTAAAACAAGTCTTGATCAGAGCAGGCATGTGAAATTCAGTACCAGTTGAGTGCTGTGGTAGTCTGGACCCTGACTGAAGCCAGAAACCAAGGTAATTCAAGAGCGCTAGCAGATACAATCCAGCGGACAATAGTAAGCTGCTAAGGAAGTTGAGGGTCTTCTAATGACAAACCATATTTGGAAACAGCCAATAAGCGATACGAAGAATCCCAGTGAACTATGAAAAGACATGTGGCAGATGCAAAAAAAGCTGAAGCGGCATCAGAGAATCATAGATGTCAGACGCCAGTTACTATCACCTCGGGAATGTATGAAAGGCATTCAGACAACAAGTCACAATGCTGGTACATTGCCAACTATATCGGACACTCTTCCATACACCTCCAATGTCATGGTAACCAGTACCTGACATCTACTCTCTTTTGATCCACCTTCAGCTTTTTTTACATCTGCGAGAAGTTATTGAAACATTGCATAGACAAAACTGATAGTCGCAAGTTGGCAATGGCAGTAGCGAGAAACCTTAAGAGGTCGTCCTAAGAAAGTGATAACAATTAAAATATATTAGGTGAGGGGTACCAGGGGTCTAGACGGATCTGGAGTAGTGCAGTGCAGGTAGTCCATACTCAACGGGAAGGTGGCTAATGGGGCATGTTAGAATATATCCCATCCATCTAGAAATATGGACCATGTCCGGACACAATAGGTCCACGCAGATTCATCTGGATTGGAAGTTTACATTAAAAATGTTTGGAGTATCTGAAGCACAGGATGCACCGGATACAGGTATTTATTTTTGCTGATGTGGTTCTCCTATTGATTAGGGTAACCCAAGTTGTCAATTTGGAAGATACCCTGAATTGCTCAATGGTGAGTCTGCATAGGGTTACCCTACCTTCAAACCAGAGTTATCCTGCCTTAGGCCCTGGGTTGCCCTACTATAAAGCCAAGTTACCATACCTTGAAAGTAACTTGTTCTGCAGGGCTTTGGGGGAAGTTACTAGATTGTTTGTCATGTGAAACTAGATTGGATATTAGAATCTCAGATTGTGCAGATTACTCTTGCACAACCAGTTGAACTCTGAGCAATCTGTAACTTGAAGGTATGGTGGCTAACACCCCCTCTGGCCCTGTTATACATCTCTAGCATCATGGGCCACAGCCCAGAGAGTTGCTGTCAGTCTAGTAAAAGTCTACTGGTGGAGATGCTCCTGTCACACCCTTGATCAAATGTTTATGCACAGTTACCCTACCGAGAGGTCTGTGCACTTCCATATGCATAATATATATAAAAACAGCTATTCTAGCATATTCATACAATAAAACAACACACACTATATAAATTAATATCATCACGTTCTACAAGATCGCTATAAACACAAGAGATTACTCTCGAGGATCGAGGGGGGGGGGGGAGGCGGACCCTAGTCTCCTATACGATCGTACCAGTCTCCGATCCCTTTCATTCATCCTACGAAATCCTTACCCTCTGAGAGATTTTCTGCTCTCTAGCAATCCTGACCGTCATTTTATCCCAAAGCCCCCTCTCACTAAGGGCACCAATCGAGCCAAAATCTTGTGTTACCCCGAATGAGTATCTATCTCGAAACTAGGCGAGGGGAGAGAATATCTACTACCATCATCATAGGTCCAGCCACCACTGAGGTCTTCCAACAGTGAGATTATTATAATAAATAAAGCTGGGTAGGTCCTTAATCCAGAAAGTAATGATGGTGGAGGCACTAAACATTCAATCCTCTGCCGCAAAGACACTGGCCAATTTACTGGTTGTTCACAAAAGCACCTATTCCCACATCGTACTGCAACTACAACAGGAACTAGGGACTTTTGCAGGGGTATAACATAGACAGAGTGAGAATGAGACCCAAGTTCCTATCCTCCATTTAACTAAGCCTAGCACCTATATATCTCCCCCAGTATGTTCCGATACAGACGCAACGGGTTCATTTAGTTTGAACGGGTCATGGATCGTTAAGTTGAGTTGGGTCGGACCCGCTCACTTTCGATCCTCACTAACCCCTTGGAAGGTTTGAACTGAACCAAGAGGCCCACAACTATCTATCTAGGTAGTTCCGACTCAATATTTGGTGCTCTGGGAAAGGGGCGCTTAAGGCCAGTCTGACATCGAATATCTTGGCCCATTTCCAACAGATATGGAGTTCGTGGCTGGAAGATAATGTTGACTCCTCTTTAGTGCTTGTGCCCTTCAATCAGTAGGCGAGCAAGCCCAGGTTGGTGAGACGGTTCACTACGACGAAATGGGAGGCTCGCCTGATCTGGGTCATAAGCGTACAGTACTCGGGCTTCAGGGTAGGCACACACGGTCACTTGTACACTGGACGCCGTGTACCTAAGGCTATGTCTTATACCTACGGCACCTCCCTCAAAAACTTCCAGGATCGTGTTCTCTACAGTGATTATGTGACTGGCCTTAGCTATTAAGTGGATTATAGACCGGGCAGAAAGCGAACCAGCACTTGCGCAAATGAATTTTAGACACTATCAGATGACAACGATATATAAATTCTTGCCTACTGGTAAAAAAACATAGGTTGTAGCCACAAAATTCTGGATCGCCCTGGTTCCAACTCCTCTAGCTAAGGTTTACGAGAGACCCAATAGCCTGAGAGTCCTGAGGGGCCCCTAAAGGTGAGTCACAGCTGCCTAGCGTTGATGCCGAAGGAGAGCCCCAACCAGTCACGGGAGCTAGGTGTGGCGAGAGAATTTATGCTTTGCGTTTTGGGTCTCAGAACGGGCCCCCATGCGTGGGAATAACAGGGCGGAAAGGCAAGTAATTGAAGACTGAATCAGCATTATCCAGACTCTAAAAAGGAATCTAGTCCTGGCCACAGGGCGTCAAGGAAGGGTGAAAACGGTGCACGGCCACAGAAGGAGGAACCAATACTTGAATAAAGCAGGCTTATCGTTTCTTTTCACTCACCGTTTGGATATTGTGGGCAGCTCATAGTATTAGGTGCCAGATACCGGCACCAGAAACCTACCTGGTTTATTCGAGGCGCCGATAACCCTCAAGGGCGTGAAACAGCAAAGAAGCATAAAACTAGACTGTCTTCTCTTTCTTAAACCTCGCCATATCTATAGACTGTAGTGTACAACCCTCCTCCAAACCTGAACACCGCTAAACAAAGACAAACTCTCGGGTGAAGACATAGTCAGGCGCGTCTATGAGATCTCCAAGACAGAAAAGAAATAAAGGATAACGACGAACCGGAAGGAATAAAAGTACAACGAACGCCCCAGCCGAAGAATTATTAGTACACAAGGGCCAGCTGGGCTGGCAGAAGAGAAGTAGCCAGAGGATGATTCTTCAAATTCCGTGCCAGGAGTTGAGGTAATATTAGAAATCGTGATAAGAAAACGAGTCTTTGCGGTCTATGGCGAGCCTGCTATTATATGAATAAGTTCCTTAGCTAGTATTTTGACGAAGGGTTGGTGAGCAAACCGGGTACCCATAAGCAGTACCTACAGGATCGAAATCAGCTGCCGCTCTGGACTTCTTGACAAATTTTACACCGCCAACCCTCTTGCATTCGTTCTGCATCGACGCAGGATCTATGGAACCATCGCGTGTCGCATTTCTAGGGAGCGTTAGCCTGTGGCAAGACTTGGCGGAGTTCAGAATGGTTAAATCTGCGGGTAGACAAGCAGAGATGAATATGGAGTGGTAGGAATATTAGGAAATACTCACGTTTCCATTGCAAAGCACCATCTCAGGCTTGTCGAACGGCTTCCCGCATGTGCAAAACCCCGAGATTATCTCTGGCGCCTGCAGGCAGTCTATAACGTCCGTATCCTCAACTTTAGTTGGGGCGGCTTCCTGGGTATCAAGTACAAGCGGCCCTGACAGTCCAATTCCCCACTTTGTCTGTCCAGCAGAGGACCATTGGCCTTCGCCTTTGATGACCCTCATACAGAAGGCTACACATTCGGTGTCTATTATTCCGTATTGGACAAGATTCAAACAATGTTTCCAAAATTCAACTAGAAGCTGAGAAGTTCTCATGTTTTCAGCTTGCTCACGGGCAAAGCGAATCAGAACTTGTGGGATGTGTGAATATCCAATCGGCCTACGCAAGATTAGCTGTGAGAGTAAAAGTTGAGGTGAATATGACCTACCGTTCTAAAAACAGATGTCTGTCCCAGAGCTGCATGAAGGTCATTTCATTCCGAGCCACATCAGTGAAGTCTTCGATGATCTACGGAAAATTGAATATCAGTTATCAGTACTGATACTGAAGCCTACAAGATCCCTACTTACTTCTTTGTGTTCCATCTGCAGCCAGCCCTCGTCGACATCATCGTCACTCTCACTCAGTTCCTCATCCGGGTATACAAATCTTTTCGATCTACTTCTTATAAACACCAGCCCTTGCAGCCCATTCATGGGTACGGGCACGCGGTATTTCCGTCTTTTGTTTACCGGCAAATCCCCAACCTCATTCAGATTGATTCTCTTCTTAGAAAATGGGACAAGTGTCCCTCCAGCCGTCGTATCCCTCCGATTCTGTAGGGATATGCCTCTCCTTTCGTTCAGCCAACTCCAGTCGCCATCAAGTATTCTATCGACATCAAGTATTTCTGAAGGTTTGACCCAGCGAAAAGTCCTGTGATCCGGAACATGGTCACTCGCTCTTCCAACCATAGCATCTCTTGCTAGGTCTACAAAGACCTCCACATAATTCTCATGCCTCTCGTTACCCCTCAGACCACTTTTTGCTTTGTTTGGCCTTACTTTGAACTGGAACAAATCGTGAGAGGTGATAAGGTGGAAATGTAAACTAGTTAGATTTGTGAGTTCTCTTCCATCACAAAAAGGGCATATATATCTGGGGACAGTGAACGCGTGCTGATGTTTGATAGTTGGTTGCTCAATACACGGATGAAAACGCTCCTCATCTACGGGGGAGCTGAAAACGTAACAGGTTAGTACAGAGTCTACGGGTGAGAAATCACGCCCTCTCTCAGACACCGGAGTTGGTAGTCTTGGAGACACGAGCTGGTAAGCTTCTCCACCGCGTGTGATGGTTCCTTGCTTATCCCATTTGCAGTCCAGCTCAAGTTCGATATCCGCCCGCTCGCCTGTTTCACCTAGTATACCTGTTCGGAATTCGAGTTCATGGGAAGCAGATGCGGGAGCCATAGGGAGAGAATGGAAAACTCCAACGAGTTGGACATTGGTCGGGTCGTCCCATCTCCCTGAGCTATTTGAATCTAGGGGAGGCCAAGGTTGGTCGGTACTGATTGGTTGTAAAGCGAATTCCGCTGTATAACTCTCTGCTAGGCCAAAACTCTGGATTGGTCCCCGATTGGTAAATACAAACAGCTCGCCAGCCCTGATATAAAACGGATCCTGCATTTCGATGGTCGCAAACTCTTCAGAATCATATGCGATTGTGCAAAATTGCCTGTATCGAACAAGTGGATTTGTGCTTGATTCCTCCCTGGACCTAGATCTGGTTCGCCGTACATTGGAGAGTTTTGCAGCCCTCAAGGGATCGAGCTTCTCGTAGATCGTGAGCTCACACCGGCAACGGATATTTATGGGTTTATCAAAGGAACGACGATCGCGACTAGTGCGAGAATTCCGGGTGCCTATGACAAGAAAAATTAGTTCCAACACAGCTCTATCTCCTCCTTGAACCCCGCTAAGCTTACCTGAACTTGGAGGATGAACCCGAGGTTTGGGTGCCCATTTGCGCCTCAAAGACTTCGCCTCAATTTTCAAAACAGGTTCCATCTTTCCACCGGTAGGAATAGGAGGCCTTAGTCTGTTAATAATTTGGTTCAACGATTCCTTGCGACGCGTGGGGAATCTTGCACTCGCTGAGGACCTCGACCATCGATCACTAAGAAGAGTCGAAGTCCCCGAAACAGGCGTGGATACCTCACTGTCTTCTTCTTCCAGCCTCTCTAGCTCGCATCGCCTTAGAACCGCTTCGATGTTGCGCTTGAGGAAGATGGGTGGCCGGTAACGCGTCATGAAGACATAAAAGGATGCGTTTCCTGTGAACTTAGTTGGCGCGCTCTCGCTTGTAGTCATTGCAGCTTAAATAAGGCAGCAAGCGCCTAGAAGCGAAGTTATCCGTTCAATACGGCAGTAATTCCTGTGATGAGGTTAGTGTGCGAGCAGACACTGTGAATATCCATACAGAGAGTGATCACGGTAAATGCCGATGAGTAACAATTGAGGCGAAGAAAGGGGCTTGTTTACATACGCGACTAGGCCGCAAGTGCGCAGAGGTGGCTTTTGGTCAAGAAATTGTCCGAATTGTTGACATAAAGAAGGATATGCGGTATTCGGAAGAAAAAGAGAGAAAGGGAGAAAAATATGGAGGGGAAAGAAGGTGTGGGGTGAGGGATGGGGTTGGGCTTGTGATGGTTTGGGTTCGTGCTCGTAGCTGAAGGTAAGGGTTCCAGTTAAGGCTTTTTCAAGGGCTGGGAAGACCGTTGCCAGAGATTAAACCGCATCATAAACTCCGAGTGCCACAGACACACACTCCCCCTCACTCAATCCATCAACAGCTCTCTTTCAATGAACCACTCCAACATATTCCCTACGATAGCTAACCCCGTCCACCAGCCTCGCCCCCTCCCCAACCTTTGACCTCCATTGAACCTGCAGGTATGATACTCACATCGGCGTCTCATCAGGAGCTAATATCCTGGCCGCACCCCGAGAGTTCAATGCTGCTAGAGATGCTACACTCTAGCCAGTGACGATGCTCAATCTACTTCTACGAGGGCCCTGTTAACTCAAAACTGTCCTGGTACCCAGAGCAATTGCATTGGCCCTTAACTCAGCTTCTCACAACCTATGAGCACACTGGCCCTCAGTGTATTTTTTGGCCAGTCAAGGACTTTTGGCCAGGAAAAACCTTTCGGGAGGCCAATCAAGCGTCTAGATTACCAGTACGAGTACATGTGTAAGGTGATAAGATGGGGAGACCCTCTCCGGGTCTCGCACATGTGATTGTCGAGAATCGCAGACTTGGAATCAAGGGGAGAGCAGCGGTAGGCTGTCAGGTAGCCTCAATTGGAACCTCCCCGGCGTGCCGAGCTGGGCTGGAATGTGCAAGTGTGTCTCTCAAGGTTCTACTTCCCTTGTCCCCTCAGGGAGCTTGATGTCTCATGCCACGTACCCAGCTACGTCCATTCCATCAGAGGTTAAAGTGAGCAGACCATCAAATGTGTGTATAAAGAATGGGGTCCTCACAGGATCTCTTCCCACAGCAAACCCCAGATCCACTGGAGGTGATCAAAGCATTATTTCAGGGCCCCTTCAGACTCAGGGCAGCCTGCTCCAATCACAATAATATACTCAGGCTATTATATGGGCCGTAGTGCACCAATGCCCTCAGCAAAGAAGCTTCGTATGGTAGCCATAGCTTTCCTACTGGTCAAGGTGTCTGCTGAAGGGAAACTGGTCAGGACTTCTGAGCGATCAATATAAACTGCATAGGTGCTACTCCACGGAGGTCAGACAGGGCATGCTACACCAAGCTTTAGTGCACTAAAGCTTACAATAGGGGATCTTGACTACCTCTATAGCCGGACGGCGCTGTGTTATGGCTGTATCATGCGCGAATCGCCCTCTACCACTCTATATATGATTGGGGCCGTGCCCCCAAGAGAAACCGGTAACTGGGACGGTTTTTCATCCGACCTAGGCCAAAGGTCCACTTGGTAAGATCCAACTACTTGAGGCCTGCTTCCGCAGCGGGGTAGCCAATATCATGGGGAGACCGTCTGGTACTGTACGAAACAGGTAAAAAGATAGAATGAGGGATTACGTATTCTCGACGTAGAGAGCGCCCGTGAAAGCCAGCGATATACAGGTTTGAGCAATACAATTGTTGAACTTCGGTCAAAATTGTAATAGTGGCTAGTATTTGGGCAGATGGATCGCTGTGGCGGGGCTGGTTATGCAGTGGATTACGTTTGCCCCGGGCTGCTCTCCACTATTGCAAACACAATGAGATGAGGTCGGATTTGGGCTAGAAATCATGCTCTATTTTGTGATGATCTCTCGTCAACTCTCCGCACCGCCTATTATCACGCGTGGCTCTACTCGAGTACGTGAGAAAGGATAGGTTACGAGTACATTTGGGAGCGAGAGCTCTGAGACAAGGATACGGTAGGGGAGCTTTGGAGCGATTGTTCCTATCTAGCATGGTACAGTACCCACCCGAGTCCGCACTCTTGCGGGGTACCAGGGCTCTACGCTTTCTGATCGTCCGGGTCTGAGGTGCCCCTTGTGTCAGGCAAGGATCTTTCTCAAATTGCACAAGCCCCCCCAGGCAGCTAGTGAAGTCAAAATTGTAGCGTGGGATACGAGCTGTATCGGAGATCAGGAGGGTGGAAGCACAAGTTGGCCGACTGAACAGATAGATGTCTTCCTCTCCTGTACTTAATATTCCAAATGAGAACGAGGCCCAACTGCTTTTATCGGCCAATATAGCGGTATAAAAGGCAGGTTTGTTTGTTTAATGAATAGTCCTCCATTACAGGAGCGGGTACAAGTTTCTGACCAAACGCCAAGTTGAAAGCTAGAAGGCGGAGGAGGACTAATGAAACATCTGAACGATCGGGTGACGATCCGTGAAGTTGGTCCTAGGATGGTTGGAGGTAACCTAAGGTTGCGCCCGGTTGGCGCCTCAAGGCCTGGTTTTCTGCCCGCCATAAAAGTGGCACTCGTTGCAAATAGGATATTGTAACGTTGCAATTTTGTTATCCTTGCTGAACTCGCAGACCTCCTACCGGAGTTTTGCTTTCATCGCTATTATCAGCGAAGTACTGTAAAGTCCACGTATGATAGAGCAGCTCAAAAATATATTTTTGATCAATCAACGACCTCCAGTAGCTCCTTTTATGTGTGAAAAACTCAAAAGTTGCGAAATCCACTTTTCACCATCTAAAATAATTTCAGCTCATTGCACATACCTTTAGGATAAACAATGATTTGGTGAATCATATATACCTTGCCTCCCCTTTGGAACCGCTTTTGTTATTCAGGTCGTGAGGCTAGGATTAGACTATTCTTGTAATAGTGAAAGGTTAAATAAAAAAAGAATTTGAAATCCACTGACATCGACTATCACTCACATTACCTCTGGATCTGACCACCCTCCCTGTTCCAGTCAGGTCCTGTGGGCCATAAAGTATTTTCCCACCCTTAACAAAAATTTCCAATTGTTATGATAGGTTTACTAACTAGTACAGCATCATAATATTATAATGGCAAAGGTAATATCTTGAAAATGAAATACTATAATACTATAATGAATAGGAATCTCATATTATGATATAAATCATATAGAGAAAAGAGAAAGAAAAAAAGTATAATTAAGAGTATTTTATCTAACTCTCGAATAATATTATATAATATTCTCCAATAGTCCTTTTCTTAACGCCGCCCGATTTTTTTACAACTTTCTTCTACGTTTCTATAAGACACTTAAGGTTTTATCCTATACGATACCTGTTACCTACATATGACACTATCACTGGTATCAGTACCAGTAATGCACAGGTCTAAAACTGAAAGTACAATATATGCCATATGATACTCAAAGAGAGAATGGAAAAAAAGAAAAAAAGCCAAGAAACAAATCAGGAAGCTTTTGGCTCTGTTTGGATGCGATGGCTCTGTTCCGTTGCCCCATACAAGTGGAAACAGTCGTTGTATCATATCCAAACAGGGCCTTTAATTGTGGGCCCACCCTCCTGGATGCACAGAGTTAGGTAAACCATCAATTTTAGTTGATAAATTCTATAGATCAGTTTTGCTTTAGGGCATCTAGTTATACCGCAAACTCTGAGCTCAATTGACAGTTATCGGTAATAGCTTTGAATAAAGTACCCATACCTTAGAGTGACTCAGGCGGAACACGGTTATGATACTGTGCCACCACTTCATGGCTGCAAAATCCGGGTAACCACCTCCAACCCGAAACGTGTACTGTACAGTACATAAACTTCCTCATAACACCAACCGCCCCCCCACCCCGCCTAACTCTAGCCAGCATGTTCTCCTCCCGCCCAAAACCCAAACGCCCATTAGCCATCAGCGACGCCGTACGCTCGGGTGCCGGCCTCCCAGACAGTAAACGTCCTAAATTTGACGTCCGAAACCCGAACGAACTTGCCCCCGACGCCCCAGACGAGGAAGACGTCTTCCTAGAAATCGACGAAGGCGCCATCGGCAAGCGCAAATCAAACCGTAACAAGGTTGACATTGAAGGCTACGAGAGTGATTCGTCAGAAGAAGGCTTCGATGCCACGCACAAGACATGGCGGAAAGACGAGCCAAAAACGGACAAGATGGCGGACGAAGGCGACGACATGTTTGCTGATTTCAAGAGCGATGAGGAAGACTACGATAATAAAGAGGGTGATTCGGGGAAAGGCCGGAAGAAGGATGTTAAGTTTATGGATCTGGGGCAAATTGAGGGGCAGGATTTCGAGAGTAAGAGGGAGTTTGTCGACATTATCGATGAGGATAAGGGCCGGGGTGAGGGTGAGGAGGACAGTGATGACCAGGACGAGCAGGAGATCGATCCCGAAATTGGGGCCGGCGGGAAGAAAAAGGGTGCTCCCAAAATTGATGCGTTCAATATGCAGAACGAAATGGACGAAGGACGATTCGACGAAGCGGGGAACTTTATCCGAAAGGCTGCAGAGAAGGATGCGGCGCATGATAGCTGGTTGGAGGGCGTGAGCAGAAAGGATATGCGGAGGGCGAAAGAAGCAATGGAAAAGCGCGAGGCCGAGAAACGGGTGAAGATGAAGGAAGACGATGCAGTGCCCACAAGCCAGGTCCTTGCAGACCTAATCCCCTGTTTGGAAAAAGGCGAGACGATCCTCGAAGCACTTGCGCGCCTCGGTACAGCGCGCAAAAGGAAAAAGAACCAAATCAACAAGAACTCATGGCGTCAAAAGAAGAAGGCCGCCGCAAACTCGGAAGAAATGGAGGTCGACAAAGGAAAAGATCCCATTGACCCAATTGAAGCCCGCCGGAAAGAAAGGGTCGAACAGATCACTGGCGCAGCCGATCGATTATTAACACGCGGACAACCCGAGATCTATGACGAGTCCCGTGAGTCACTAATGCGACAATACCGTCAAGAAACGGGAGAAGACTGGGCCGAGTCGAGAGCACCGGTTACAGAGGACACTACGGAGAAGCAATGGGAGTTTAGATGGACAGATGGGCGGGACGGTGGGGACACTCATGGGCCCTATGATAAGTCTGCTATGGCCAGTTGGAATCAGCATGGCTTCTTTGATCAAGGGGCGGAGTTTAGGGAAGTTGGTGGGAATTGGACACTTGTTTCCGACTTTGATTAACAGGAGTTGTATTAGTTTGTAGGATAGTAGCACAGAGTTGCCGGTAATTCTTTGTATTGACAACCTCCTGAATTAATTGGATTGGCGCTCTATTTTGGGAACTCTTTGCATTGTTCAACTTTATAATCAAACACGAAATATCGGGATAGAGACCCTCAAGGCGACAAAAACAACCCAGACGTCACAAGCTCACCGAATCCCTCCCAGGCCAATATCGGCTCCTTTAAAGTAGATTCGCCTTTCTGTCATATCTAGGACACCCCGTTGAAAATGGGTATATCATACCACTGAGGTGCTATCACTGGTCGATTATTCAGGATGTTAGAGATTGATCAGCAAGGATAAGGCCAGAAGACGCCATGGTTAAATACAGCATTAGCACAGGATCAACAGGAGAGCAAAGCAAATACAGCAATACACTTGTGGTTTTCAGAATGAGCCAGCCTCCTCCGTGGATCAAAAGAACTAGTATTCGAGTGACAAGAGATGATAGGTCACTAGTATTGTTCAGCTTTAACCCCGAAGCCCGACTATCTCCCCACACAACGCCTACGAAATTGAACTTACCATAAGCACGATCTCCCAGTACTTCTCCCCTCTAGTAGAACAGCCTTCACCCACAAAGTTAATGAAGAAGGTTCATGTCATGCCGCTTCTGGCCCAGTTGTATCATTAAAAACGAAAGAACCCCAGCTCTAACACCAGTAGACTCGAATGCAAATTTATAATGGATCACTTTCTCATGTACTATTTTTACCTCCTCTCCTCCTGCCTCTCGGTGATACCATCCTTAGCAAACGTCGCCGCAACAATCAGGGGAAATACGATAGTAGCCTCAGCATAAACCTTTTCATATCAGCCTCAAACGACTCAGTGAAGGGCTACGGAGCCTTACCTTCGCACTCTCTCCATCAGCCCTTATCTTTCCCCAACTGACCGCCTCATCCGGCCTTGCCCCGGCATCAGATCCATCGAACTCGCTAGCCGTGTTCACAAAGACAGCCCAATGAGCTCCATTCCTCATTAGGCACGCATTCGCAATGTGATGTTTTACGATACCGCCCCCAAGAATGATTGCCCCGAGCTTCTCAGCTCGCAGGCTCATTGAATTAATTTTCCTGATATCCCCCACGATATCACACACCAGCTGTTTTGGCGAAGACCTGTATGTGTGAAAGAATAGCATGTCACCGATGCTGCCGTCCGTAAGCGCAGGGCAAAATACCGGAATATCGTTTCTGTAAGCCCAATAGCACACTGACTCAGGGTGGTTGATTTCCTTCCCTAGCCTGTGAATGATTTTACTGGGCGTCCAAATTAGCTCGCCGTTCGATGCCTCCTGCTCTTCCAGCATTTTATCAAAAATCGGAATGATCCAGTCTTCAAATAGACAGTAATTGTTGTTCGGAACTAAAAGATTGCCAATCCTATTGAGGCCCTTTGCACGTAAGTCCCCTCCCGGCAGGCTGAATGCGCCGAGATATGTTGGTGCGAGGCACTTGATCAAGTCCTCTTCAATGCCACCGGCCGTGGTAACGATTGCTGAGACATGCTTGTGCTCCACAAGGTAGCGGAGGGTAGACCTAAGACCGGAGGAAATTAAGTTTGAAGTGTAACCGAGAAAAATGGTTGCTCTGCGGCCTTCCGAGGAGACATAAGTGCGCATACCATCGATTACCTCCACCGCTCGAGCGAGTTCGCTGCCCTGGAAGCCTATGTTTGCCATGCTATCAATTAAGGAGGAGACTGTGATCGGGGCATGATGCAGGGCATTGAATTCTGGCCCCGAGACAACGCGGGAGTTCCAGGTCGAAGGTATTGGGTCCGAAGGTTTGAGAACAGCATCGTTGGCTAGAATTGGTCTGTCGTCCTCCGTTGGATTCGTAAGTGAGGGTGGAGGAGAAGTGGTGGAGGGAGAGGGAGAAGGAATAGGTGGAAATGCGGTAAAAGTCTCAGTAGAAGTGCCCCCCGTTAAAGGGGCTGGGGCTGGTGGTGTTGACATGTTGAACAAGGAGATGAGATGTGGTTGGTGGGAGGTAAGAGCAGATGCGCCTCTACAGTATGACACTCGAGTAGAGTCTCCGTCTCGTCACCTCTTTTCTTGTTCTCCCGTTATCGATAAGAAAGCCCTAACCCTAGACCTTTGATAGGACCCAATCCTCCCTATTCTGCAACTTCCGGCGCATTCGGCAGTCCCGGCCGCAGAGATCAACCTCTTGGCGCCGACTGTGATACAAATGTATCATACTCGAGTCCCGGTAAGCTGCTTGCTGCATCAGCTCATCACTTCTTCTCGAGTATGATAATTAATTAATTACCCTACTGTAATTCAGTATCGGTCAGCCTAAACACTCGGGTCTTTGAAGCGCCTTCTTTTGAGTGGCAGGTCATTGGGGAGTGTGCTCCCGAGACACCCACCAGCGGATACACTGGCCCAATCCATCAACGGTGGAAACCACTCGTGCCACCGGGAATCACTCGCGGTTGGTCGGTTTTTTTGCCAAAAGAGCTTACATCCGCCTTTCTCCTAGGACGATAATATCCGAATGCACTATACTCGTACTCGTGCACGCGACCTTCATTCCAATCACTGACCTCCAGGTCCCAAAGAAAAACCACGCATATCGTCTGAAACCCCCACTATTGATCTCTCCCCTCACACTCCACAAATGGATGGCGATGGTTTACAGTCATTCGCCATCCACTGATTCCCTTCAATTGGGGCACCATGTGATGTAATAGGTTTTGTTCCAACTGGAGATGGCCCGCCATTCATTCTAGCAGATGAAACAGAAAAGCAAACCTAACCACTCCAGAGCTCCTATGGTACAGAAAAATACCCACAAACGCCCACCAACCAAAGAAGCGAGATATGATGGCTAAATGAAATACAGGAGAAGAAAATAAAGTTTAAAATCTGTCGCCCATCTTCATACCTTAGTGATCCCGTAATATCATCTAGCCATCGTGATCATCACCGGAACGCTGCCCAACCCCTCTAAACGCCGTGAATCCACAGAAACAAGACAAACGCCGACCCGAGGAAAACAAATGAAAATACACATCTGGCCCGACCAACTACCAGGCCATATTAAACCCTTCAAGCTTTCTCACGCAAAATTCGAGCAGAGTAGCTCCGTGCTCCATCATCCACGGGTTGTAGCAGCCACGGCCATCCCAGGGCCAACCCACATGCAAGTATACGTCGTCATCCTCCGCTTCGTCGGTTTCCCATCGCGATGACTGGAAACCATGGTGATGGTGGGTATACATGTCTTCTCCATCATCGGAATCAGAATCGCGGTATGCATGTCTTGAAACGTCTATCGGATAATTGGTAAATGAATCAATGGCTAATGTGTGTTTGGAAGAATGAAATCTTACTGGCTGGGTTGAACGGCAGCTGCCGTCTCCGCTTGGGATAAAGACCACTGCTCCTCCCTAACATCCACAAACTGGCATCCCTCTCGATTTCGGTTTTGAGCAGAGCCTTCTTCTTCTTACCGAAGCTGCTGAAACTTAGGGGAGATGAGGGGACTAGATCATGTTTGAAGAGTCGGGGTGAGCGAGGTGACTTTGGGGTCTTTGTGATGGAATAGTTGTAACGGAGAGAGGCTGCGCTGCTGGGTGTTTTGAGTGTAGAAACGGCTAGGAAATGTTAGATGGGGATAGTTGATGAGGATCGGCACAAGGCATACCTTCTGCCTCTTCGTGTTGGGAAGAGAGAGTGAGAGCCTTAACTCGCTTTGGCTTCCTGACCTCTTCGTCGGAGGTTTTGGAGTCAGTCTTGATGAGCGTGGATGGTTCCCCATTATCTTCATTGTCTGCCTCGTCTTCTGCATAGGCTGTTAGTCAATTAGGTTCTCATAAGCTAGAACGATAACAAGGTTATGCAAACCTTTCTCTTGTCTCTCCCCCCCGTCCTCTTTTTTCTCATCCGAATTGTCCCTCGAATCGCCCGAGTCGTCGCCATCCTCACTCATGGCCACATCCTCTTCCTCAGTGGTCTCGGTGGGAGCTTCGTCATCAGTGCTCATGTCTGTATCTTCCCCACTGCTCCCGGTACTCTCTGCATCTGCGTCTGCATCTTCTTCCATCTTGTCTGGATGAGTAGTTGCTTCCTCTCCCTCCTCCTCCCGTTTATCGCCGTCCTTCTCGGTATCCGAGGGATTGGAATCTTCGTACTCTGGCTTCGGTTGAGAAATCTCCTTTTCGGGGGCCTCTGGTCCCTTCTCCTTCTCTTCTTTCTCCACCTTCTCCACCTTCTCCACCTTTTCTTCCTTTTCTTCCTTCTCCTCGACCTCACTCTTTCTAACGCTAGATCTCGAGCTTCTTCGTCTGGGCTTCTCCTCTCTATCCTCTCTTTCTGAATCGGACGAATCATCCGCCTCTTCTCTCTTCTTTCGTAGACCAGAAGGCCTCGAATTCCGCTTCTTGGGCGACTCTAACTCTTTTTCTTCCTCATCTTCCTCCTCGAGAGTCGGTGGCAGGACAACCTTGACTTTCTTCTTTATAGGGCTTTTCCTCGCTGCTGTGCTTTCCTCTTCTCCAACTTTCTTTGTCTTAACATTAAGGCAAATCATGCCATCTTCCCCAAGCCGCTCCTTAACTCGGTCGCTTACAAGTTTGTCCATGGTTGATAGGGTTTCGGACGCCTCCTTCACGTCTTCCTTTTTCTCTTCAGCTTCGTCGTCCTTCATCAAAACCTCTTCCTCCGGCTCGGCTTCAGCATCTTTCATTGAGTCCTTCTCTTCCTCTTTTCTCTCCTCCGGCTTGGACCCAGGATCCCGGACCAATTCCTCGTCCGCATCCCCGCTCTTCTTGGTAGCCCCCTCCTCAGGTGCGTCCGTCTCAATCTTCTCTTCGACGAGCGACTCAGGGTCAGAAGCTGACTGAGAAGGACTATCAGAAGTGATGGTGGTAGCACCCGTTGGCTCCTCAATGTCCATATCCAAATCTGCGATCTCTACGCTGAAGCCTATCATACATCAATCAGAGGAGGATCTCGAGTGAGAGTCCGTGAGTCCAATACTTACTTGAGAAGGAAGCGGGACTGCGTGAGGTGAAAAGCTTGATGTTATCTGAGAGGCCTTCGGAGAAGTAATATACATTGTCGGAATCCATACGCTCCATCATACGCTCCAGTTTCTGTTTTCGTAAAAGGATAGCTCTACGTCGTGATAGTCTGGCAATTATAGCGTCCTTGACTGGGCTGCGAGGCTTGACCTTCCTCTGTAGTGCTGGCACTGGTACTGGCAATGACTTGCGTGAAGGTAAGAGGTAGAGGCATTCCCGGTTGTTTAGGATTCGGACTTTACTGCTTAGGCCTTGTTCAACATGTTCTTCGTCCAAGGTACGCTTAGCAGGGCTTGCTGAGGAAGGTTGGTATCTTGAAGCTCGGGGAATGGATCGACTGGCACCGGTAGGAGCCTTCACTCGCGGAGTGAAGAGGCCATCTGTTCGCAGTCGTTTGGAGGGAGTATGTGGGGCCCGCGGGTTGGACTTTCGTTTGAGGGATGGTGACATCTTTTCTTATTGAAAGCGTGTGAGAACGTTTGAGTGCGAGTGAATACGTATAATGAATTGAAAGGATAGGTACAGGAAGAAGAGTGGTAGGTACAAGTAATAAGTAATAAGTGTGAGAATGAGTAGGAAACAGAGCCTAGTCCGTCTCTCTCGCCGAGATGAATATGCAATGTGATATGGAGCGTTGCAGAAGAGGGGGACTGGAGAGAGGGGGGGGGGGTGAGGGCATGCACGGGTATTTGAGCTGTCCCCAGAGGAGCAAGACTGCTGTCCTGTTCCACTCAAAGGGCAGGGGAAAGACTCGGAACTCTCAATCGAGAGATTACCGAACCAGCTGCGACCACACGGGACAATGGGAAAGCAGTAAATGGTATTCGAATGGATAAGCGGCAATTGAGCCAAAGGGAAGCCAGGTTCTACAAGTACAAGCAGTGGAACAAGAAGGGTCATTTTCTTGTGTAAGGACGGTTTCCTGACCTGCCAAGTACCGTAGCACCAGGATAAGGTAAGTCTAAACCCGGCATGGGGTGTAAGGTAATGCGGGTAAGTATGGAACTTTGCAACAAGCTCAAGTGCAGTATTCAACATTCCCATGCGACAATTACTTGCAGTAACATACTCAAGTAATAAGGGCATGATACCCTTTACGAGTATAGAATCAGAAGGTAATGACGATGACGATTGAGGTGAAACCAGAGTTACAGTTTTCTTCGATATTTCCTCACACCCCAATTCCTCTCTCAATCGGAGCCCTATGAGTAGGTCAAAATTGTTGAGGGGACTCCCGAAGGCGGCGGCGGGGGGGGGACAGGCGTCAGGTTAGTTGGGAAAGTATCTCCTTCCAAACCCGACCCAAGCCTCGACGTGTCACCGAGTCCAGGGAAAAAAAAGGAAAGAAGAAAGAAAAAAAAAAAAGAAAAAAAAAGTAGGGATAACCCCCCCACCGAAACAAGTGACGTGGAGACTTGCCAGTTGTTGCTCTTTCCGCCCGCCTTTAAAAATCGATGGAGTGCAGGCTTGCAGCTGCCAGCACATGAATCCCCTCCAGAAATGGAAGAGAAGACCTTGGCGTACTTAATGGGTTTTTATTAATTTTTGTATATAGCAACTTAGTCAGCAATCCATAGCAATGTTGAATTTTGATTACTAAGCCTCTCTCTGTCACGTTGAATTGATACGGGGGCGAACCTCACGGGCTCCCCCGTCACGTCCTCACGTTTTTGTTTAGCTTGATCTCACCCCTAAACCAACCTTTGCACTCGTAGCTGGTCTCGCAACGAACAAACATGGCTACACAGTACAATCTTGAGCCCCAAACAGAGTAATAATCTTTCCCACCCCCCTTCGTCTCCGCAGTTGTACCCCACAAGGGCTGCACACAATGCTAATTGCGATTCGTCCAGCGCAAAAGTCATCCTAAAAACAAGCCACGGCGATCTCTCCCTGGAACTCTGGTCAAAGCAGACTCCACTAACCGTCCGCAATTTCTTGCAATTATGTATGGACGGTTACTACAACGATACAATCTTCCACCGTCTCGTACCCGGTTTCATTCTACAGGGCGGTGACCCCACCTCCTCGGGCCATGGAGGCGAGGCAATCTACCCCGGTGGTCTATTCGCGGACGAGTTCCACCCCCGCCTCAAATTCAATCGTAGGGGACTGGTTGGGATGGCGAATTCCGGGAGGAAGAATGATAACGGGAGTCAGTTTTTCTTTACGCTTGGAGAGTGCCGGGAGTTGACGGGTAGGAATACCATGTTTGGGAAGGTGGTTGGGGAGACGTTGTATAACCTTGTGAGGATTGGAGAGATGGAGGTTGTGCAGGGGAGCGAAAAGCCGGTTTACGATGTTAAGATAACCTCAGTGGAGGTTTTGGTCAATCCTTTTGAGGATATGGTCGCTAGGATTAAAGAGGAGAAGAGGCTCGAGGAAGAGCCCAAAAAGAAGAGTGGTGGAAAGAAAAAGAAGGCCAAGGCATTGCTGAGCTTCGGTGGGGATGAGGAAGGGGAGGAAGGGCTGGCGGTTGTCAGGAAGCCAAAATTCAATACCAAGCTAGTAGTCGAGGCGCCATTGGCGGGCGAGGATGATAGGGTCGTTCAGAAGGAAAAGGTCGCATCGGAGATATCAGAGACAGGCGATGAACAGCCTATAGGAGCTGTAGAAACAATCACTAAAACCGATTACAAAGACAAAGGAATATCAGACCCGACACTCTCCCCATCGCCATCACCCCCACCTCAAGCAATCCGAAGGGCTCCCTCACCAAAACTAACAAAACTACAGAAGACTAATGCCGAAATCGCAGCCGTCAAAGAAAGCCTAAAACGCCGAGCCAGCCCTCCCCCGGCGGAACCAAAAGCAAAGAAGAAGAGTCTTCTAAGCATCCAAAAGTCACTCTTACCTTCAACATCCGTCCAGGGGCGAAAACGGAGACGTGGAAAAGCCACAGCAGATGATGATGACGCCTACGCCGCCCTCCGACGCTTCAAATCAAAACTTGACTCTGCCCCTTCTCCCGCCACTGCTACTACCACTGCTACTACCACTGGCACTAGCGCAACCACAGAAGCAAAAGCGGCCACGGGTAGCGAGCCCACCGAGGTGCTTGACCACGACGACGAATCCAACCTTTGTGATCTCCACTTCATACCAAATTGTCTCTCCTGCAACGCACATGTCGAAGAGGAGGACGATGTTGACGGTGGTGCGGCAGGGCTGTGGACCCATGCACTAAGCTTTGAAAAGGACCGAATGGGCAAGGATCTAACTTGGAAGAAGAAGAATGAGGAGATGGTGGTTATTGATCCGAGGGAGAAGGGGAAGGAGATTCTGAGTAAGAGGAAGGGCAAGGGAAGTGAGTGGGGAAGGAGGAGGGATGGAGAGGGGCTGGGCACAGGTAGTAAAAGCGGTAACGGAGGGAGAGGTGGGGGCTGGATCGACCGAGGGGGGCCGAGTGGGAGCGGCAGTGTGGGGAAGTAGTGGTCATGTATTGTCACTCGATTAGAATGTACACTAGCTTTTTCCTTTTTTTAGTTCTCTTCTTTCAAGAAAATGGGATCGATAATTTGTGGGTTATTTCCGGCTCGGTGGCTACTGATGTGTCACTGCCACTCATAACTGACAAGGCCTCGCACAGTACTGATACCACAGTCACCCCATGAGCGCAATGCCCCTGCAAACCACAAAAGAATTTCATCCAATTTATACCCCATATCAGCCAACTCAGATCACGAATGCGTTGTCCCTGTCAAAACCCACGACCCTACAAAAACCTTCACTTGACCAGCGGGTCAATAGGGCACGCACTCCCATGTCCAGGCTGTCCAGTCCACCACGATCAACCCAATGTGATATCTATAAATAGTCGTCATCAGCCGCGACGCGTCCGATGGAATATCCCGTGTGTATATAGAAGCACTGTACTCGTACTGTGCCGTACCTGCGTTATCGCCTTCGTATGGTATCATAGGGTACACATTCCTGCGCCGCCGCCCGGATATCATACAATATATAAATACAACCTCCCGAAAAGTTTTATGGAACTGTTGTTCTCGGGGACCTCGCTGTGCCCGGTCCGATGTTACCCGACTGGTACAATATACGTTGGCTGGCTAGTGGTGTGGGATTGCATGGATTGGCTATGGGCGCTCGGGGAAGTACCGGTAAGTTACTGTACTTGGTTGGTCGGTCGGCTGGTTCATAGGGCGCGATTGACAGTTCCGAATGGGGAGAGGGTGATTCACCGCACCATGCTTGTCGTAAATCTATGGATGTGGGAGTACCGTTATGTATGTACGAGTACTTGTATGTATTAGGAATGTTCAGTCTTATCATGGCCATTGCGGAAGTGAATCCTTTATTTTTATTTTATTAAATTTTATTAAATTTTATTCATTGATGACTAACTAACCAAGTGGTAGGTGGATATGAGTTATCATGCTCGAGTATCATACTGCACTCGTACAGCAGTTGGCGGGAAGTCAGGGGTTGATATTGACATGTGTTTTGAGCTCAGGGAGCGGTATCATACCGTGGAAGGTTAGAGCTTTATCATATCTGATCACCCAACGGCTTCTTGGAGTTTACAGTTGTCGGTTCTCCCTTTTGTATTCTGGAAAGGGCATGTATAGTTCCCACTCTCGCCGTTTCAGGAGCACAGTACAGTACCTTTCATCGGTCAAGGTTTTACCGAGAAGGATTCCGTATAGTCAGTCCTCTTAAGAGTGTTGTGTAGGGGGGAAGGGGTGCCGGCGTACCGTATTGAAACCCACGACACGGCCACGGTAGAGATTCATATCCTCCATTCATTCATTCATATTATCATAGAATGCTACCACAGAAGCCACCAGATAGCTAAACCTACCCGTATGATACTCGGCCGGTTGATCATAACTCGAACGAATTACAGTATGATATCATATTCCCCACATAAAATCCAAAATTCCAACAAGTCCCCCACCCCTCCCCCTATAATGCCCGTATTTATGCAACTCGTAAGTCTCAAATTTAATGGTATGATAGACTCTCCCGAGTCTTTGAGATCTCCCTTTTTTTCATGACTCAACTAGGAAATAGGGCTCCTCCCACAAGACATTGTTTTCATATTATGATACGATACTTTGAGTATGATGATACCGTACCGGTATATATTTTGCTCTGAAGAATCGCCAAAAAGCGATTTCACTGCACAACATAGACTACCGAGACGTCAGATCACAGAACATCCGAGCCGGAACTTGATGGGGGCATCATCACAAAAGGTCACTCGAGTAGTATATCCTATCCCTCCCGATATATATGTCTGAGCGAAAGCGAGGCCACTCTACTGTAAAGCTACTGAGTATCCTTGAAAAGTACATCCCGTAGGGGAATTTGTCCACTACGGCGGCCACCGGCGATCTGCCCCCCCCCCCTCCCCCCATGGGGGAAAGGGGACGACGATAAGGATGAAAATAATCTTACCCCCTACCCATTCTCCAGGAATCACGCTTCGGTATGCACTATATATATCATAGAACCCGGCCAACAACCTACCCCCTGCGGATAAATGACGTCACTCGAATCCCTACCTCACCCTGTATTGCCAGAACTCGGTCATACCTCCCATTACTTCCACGAGGCAAGGTATGGTGCTACAACTTCTATATAGAGTGGTACTCCTCACCCGGAATACCTAACTATGAAACACGGTTCGTCGAGCATTGGGTGCCACAATTACGGACCATACTGCTTCTTCATTCCTTCTATTTCTTGATCCAACGGCCGGCTCATACTGTACATATCCCTCCATCTAGGGTACTGTGATTCCGGGGGTTTAGGGTGTGTGGCGGGTGTTAGTGATTGTCAAAAAAAGGGATATATATCATATATATATAACTTATATAAGGGTGTCACAGTTAGGTTATCCATGTTCGGGCATGTTTTATGGACTAGCGTGGACCGCAGCACCGACAGTTGTCTTTCTGAGAGAGAGTAGCGTGAATGGGCCAACAGTGTGCTGTGTCCGTGATCAAGATTGTTCTCCCTTGCACACCAGACTAGGTCCGTCGGGAATGCGTGAGGGGAATTTTTTTTTGTGAGATACTGTGCTGTTTCAATGTGCTGGTACTCGAGTATCGGAAGGGCTGTTTGATTGTGTATGACACAAGCACCACATACCGTACAGTACCCATTGCTCTCATTGGGTAGAGAGAAATAATCTGTAATCATGGAGCGATAACCACATCATGAATCACAACACAAGGGAAAGAGATAGATCATAGCTCTTAAGAAGATTCTGCAAGACTTAGCTACCATACATATCGTGGTCTACTGTGTATATGTATACATCCCACAAATGGCCCCCTTCCCTCAGTCACACAAGCAACTACATCGACCCCACTCCTACACCGCAAAAAAAAAAAAAAAAATGAAAGATGGAAAAGAAAAGAAAAAACCAGGCCACACCCAAAACCCGAAACCCAAACATTGTAAAGAGAGCTTATTCTAGACCACCGCCCACTGCGAAATACATCAGTATCAAAAGGAACGCCACACTACCACACGCCCGTCCTATCCTATCCCTAGTAGCAATGATTATGGGGATGACGATGAATCCCCCTCCCGAACAATTGTGCAAACATGAATAGCTCCATAAAACTCCTACCATCTAGCAAATAATACATTCACGCCTTCCCGAGGACTCACTCCCAGTGGCTGCAGCGCCTACACTACTCCTGCGGGCGGGTGGTGGACCCCCACTGCGGCCGCTGATCTCTTGTAGCATTCCACGTGCTTGCTCACCGCGTCGGACAACAGGGATAGAGCTTGAGCCGACGATGGGAGGGGCTGAAGGACCAGAATTCTGGGCTTGCTGTCGGTAGGGGAAGAGTTGTGGTGTGGGAATCGTTGCAGCAGCGGGCGTACTCGGAACACGTTCATATGGGGGTGGTGCTTCTTCGGAGCTTGATGCTGGTCTGTGTGTTTGGAAGGGGGCTGGTTGGGCCCGTAGAGGAGGGGCAGGGGCAGACATTCTTTGAGGAACAGCAGGTTGTGAGGGCGACACTGCAGGAATAGCGGAAGTAGAGTTCCTAGTACGGCTCTGGTGACGTCTGTGTCTCTCATCCTCCTCTTCTTGCAGTTGCATTGCGAGGGCTAGATCAGTGTCATAATCATAGTCTTGGTTACCCGAAGAACTAGATCTGGGTGGCGGTGGTGGGGGAGGCGCTCGCTCGATAGTGGTGGCTAGGCTTTGGCTATTATTTTGACTTCTCCTAGAACCAACGGTCTGCCATCCTTCGTCATCGTCAAGTAAGCTTCTAACCTCCTGTCGTGGCGCTGCTTGGTGCCTCGAACTACCGCCACTGTTATGAGTATCGGAACCTCCACCGCCGACAGGTCTAAAGTCTCCGCTGAGGAATTCATTTTGGCATCCTTGAACATCCGCTAATCTCTCGAAAACCACCTCTTCGTGGCTCGCGAACCCCATATCTGTAACTAGCCCAACCAAATCACCCCCAGTCCGTCCCCCACCGAGAATAGTCATGAAATGATCGTTTCTAAATAAGATAGCAACATGTCCTGCCTTTAAATCTCTCCTTAATACGTCCAACCCATGAATGGTTAACTGTGTCTTACTCTTTTCCATGAATTCTCTAATGATGCGGGCATCTTCACAAATTCTTTCTTCCTCGCTTGTTAATTCGAGTTGGGTTCCAGAGGTAACCTTCGTGATGATCTCCTCTTCAATCAGGAGCAATGTCTGTGCCTCTTCGTAACTCCCAGCGCCGCGCCGCCGCATTGCATCGAGGACAGGGTCCACAGGCTCGGGCAGCCACCCGTGCACAAGAGGTACTTTAAACGCCCCATAAAGTGCCATTTCCCTTGTATTCTCAAATCCGCCCGACGGACCTGAAGCCCGGCACTCGTCATCCAAGGGCAAGAAGCGAGGGTTAACGTTCATGCCAGTATGCAAGGTTAGCAAAAAAGAGAATAAGTCACCGACGTCCGGCAAGCCACCGGAGCCCCTGGACATCAGTTCCTCAAATACGGCGTCTAGAAGTAGCTCAAGCGAAACTTGCTCTCGAAGTCGGAGAACATCGCCAAGTGATGTCTTGACCCCATCAGGAGTAGAAAGCACTAGGGCATTAACCAGGGCAAGTAAAGGACATGGCCCGTTCGCATTTTGTAGTAATATAGGGGAACGCCTAAGCGCCGACCCGGGTTGAGAGGGATCGATCCAGTTAATGTGTTTGATCTGGTATATAGCAGTTGTGGTATTTGCTGAAGGTTGAGGAGGTGAGACCCTCGGGGCTGTAGGTGGTGGCGGGACTGGCCTGGAATTTGAGCTCGAACTCGGCCTCGGAGTTGTCTCTGGGGGCTTCTCCGCAGAAACTGGTTTCGGTGACTTGGGTGGTTTGGGTGGCCCTGGAATGTCGGAACGGGCACTAAGCACCCTCTCCTGCTCCTTCCTTTCCTCTTCCCAGAATTCAGCCTGCAAGCGCTCTTCTCTCTCACGTTTTACGGCCTCCTCAGTGCGTCGTTGAAGCTCAGCACCAGCCTTAGCCCTCTGCTCCAATTCCTCTTCCCAAGTTTTGGTCACAGGTTCCTCTGCAATGCTCTCGGCCCAACCACCCATACCGACAGTTGGCTGGCCTTGTTGACTAGGGTAAGCGCGGGTAGTCGACGCGTCAAAAGAAGATAAATCTGCTCCAGGGTCGAAGGAAGAAGAGGCAGTGGATTCAGCAATTGAGGGGTGTCTCTGTTTAATTTCGGAGCTTGAAGATGTGGTGGTAATTATTGTTGGCCGTTGGGGCGGTTGTTGGGAAGGGATTAGCGAATTTTGTGGGACATCTGGGAGTGGTGAATCCAGGGGGCTGTCGAATAGACCAAATTCAGTGAATGGCCTATCGGCCGAAGAGAGTGTAGCTGACATTTGCGGGGCCAGTGAGGCTGCAGGGGAGGAAGGATATTAGCCCGTGCTCCTTTGGCGCAACACACTTGGAAATTTCAAACTTGGCAAGGAGAGATGACTAGGGATTGACATAAAAAGCGGAGGAAACCGCAACTGATGATAAATGGGCACAAAAAGAACTCACAGGCAACAGATTTCGGTGTTTGTTCACCGACGACCTGTTTTCCCTCCAGAACCTCCGACTTTTTCTTCCTCAAATCTCTCTCCTGATCAGAAGCAACGGGGATGGCAGCACCAGTGTCCTCTCTTCTGTTGAGAGCTCCGTGCATAAATGTTTCGTCCTTCCTCTCAGCTTCGGAGCTTCTTCTTACAGCTCCCACCGCGACCCCCGCTCCGGGCCGTAAAATACCAGGGACGTTGCTGCTGTCGAAGCTCTTTCGCACCTCTAGGCTCGACTGCCTCCCCTGCTCACCGCTGCTTTGTCCGACCTTGAGAGATTCCGGCATGGGAATAGCCGTACTGCCGGATTCTCCACATGGCATTCTCTGGACCTGATCGAGATCCTGCGAGTCAAAGGCTGGCGACTGGAGCAGAGAAGGAGAATAGGGTTCACTAAGGTTGGCTTGGGAATTGGAGGGAGCAGAAGGAGGAGGATTGCCCCCCTCGAGAATAGAGTAAGGTGGGCGAGTGGAAGGATTGAGACTGGAGATTTTCTGTTTCTTGAGAACCATTGAAAAATCGTTTGGGGTAAGAAAACAGAAGGTAAGGTTGATGAAAGGGAGAGGAATAAGTCAACCGCTGAGAAATGCGAGAGGGAGGGTGGTGGCGCGGCTGGTTACGTTAGCGCTGTCGTAGGCAGTGACGCGGCTCAAAATGTCTGCCCTTTGGAATCGGGGTCTTGTTAATATTATGTTTTTATTTTGCAAACACGACAAATTGGCTCTCCTATTACTCTCGTATACGACCTGAGGTGTTAGTGGCAAGATAAAGATAAGATAAGGATGGGAGGGGGAGGAGAAGAAAGGGAAGAGATGAGATGAGGAGAAGAGAGGTGAAATTCTATAAGAAGAAAATCAGTTCTCTGTGAAGATAACAATGATACAGCAGTGATATGGAGACGATGGTGATTGTGCCATGTGAGAATTTGCTATTCTGCTGTATTTAGGTATAAAGGGAGAGTATTACGCTAGTGCGGGAAATCTTAAAAGTGAGTTTTCGTGGATATATTGTATTAACATGCCGGTAACCTTTGGACCCAGCGAGAGAGCCGGTTAATCTGTTTGCACGAGATACCAGTAAGTGACAGTGATGGAGATCATTCTCAATAAACAGGTTACCGTATCGAGCTTCCCACAGCCCAGTGGCCAAACCGGCGCAGTGGCGATAGGGTAACCAAAATTACCGGTACCGGTATTGTTGCCTGCCGGTATTCCACCTCCGAGACATACGACATCAGCGGCTCCTCTATCACACCACTATCATGCGGTACTAGTAGGTTACCCGTGTGTGAAGAGACCGCTTATCCAAACCTGAACACGCCAACAATCAAGATTAGATAAGATCCCTTGGTAAGATAACTCTATCTGAACATGGTCAAACCTCCATCGATGAACCTCAAAAAAAAAATTTCCCCCTAACACTCTTCAAATGTCGGAAGAACGAATACATCCCTACACCCATCTACTACTCCGCCTTCCATCAGGTGCTCCTCGAGTGGTACGACTTGTACCCGACGTCACTATCTCGCTTGGGAAATTTGGCTCTTTCCCTTCGAATGCCTTACTCTACAGACCTTACAATCTTACTTTTGACATTCTCGACCCCCCGGCTGCGGGATTACGACTAGTTTCAGCAGAGGAGGTAACACGAGATATACTCGGAGGTGGTGAAGATGCCGAAGCTGAAGGGACGGGCCACTATGATTTAGAAATCGTAGGTGCTGACTCGGAGGAGGATGGAGGTGAAATGATGAGAACAAATAAGGAGACCATTGATGATCCGCTCAGTCAGAAATTAAGTTGGGTGGAGATTGAGCAGCTTAAGAAGCAAGGAACTGGTTCTGGAAGGGTACCATCTCCCTTCTTACACCTGATTGGGTTTCCTAGCTGATAGGAGGGCCGGGTAGGACTTGATACAGAGACTGTTAGAATCGCATACCGCCATCCACCAGAAGACTCCTTTCGCATTACAGAAATATACACTCCGCAAGACCAGAAAGTTTCTTCGCCGATTCACTGTTCTCCCCTTAACCGTTGCGTCATTGGCAAGCTACCTTCTCGACACCAAGGAGCCCATAAAAATCCTCGAAATGCGCAACGAAACTATTGCCGTGATGCTCTCTCTCGCCAATGTCCATTACGGTGGCCGCTACTTGGTAATTGACGAATCTGGTGGACTATTAGTTTCCGCTATAGCTGAAAGGCTCGGCCTACTGGAACACATGCCCTCGGAATCCGAACTGTTCAAAGAAGAAGACAACGCCCGAAAACCCTGTCCAGATACCCCTCTCCCTAGTGCAAACACCATAACTCTCATTCACCCAAACGAGCAGCCGAACCTCTCATTGCTAAAATACTTTTCCTACGACACCAACAACCCCACTACATCCCACCCGTTACACACACACCTTAGAACCCTAAACTGGCTACAACTGGTCGAACCAAATGATGACAGCTCCCTTGAAAAACCCAATGAAATTCCAGCAGAAACTCTCGTTACACTCAAGGGAGGAAAACGTGCGGCATATTGGCGCAAACACCGTCGCTGGGAAAAGACATCACGCATTGTGGCAGAGGCTCAAAAAGGCGGTTTTGACGGCCTACTAATAGCTGCGTTCATGGACCTAAAAGGTATCCTTCGACACACTGTTCCGCTCCTCAAAGGCTCTGCACAAATTGTGGCATATAGTCAGAGCCGCGAATCCGTAATAGAACTCGCGGATTGCTATTCTGCAACTAGAAAGGCTGAGTGGATAAACGAAGGCAAAGAGGTGGCGGATGACGAATATGGAGTTGGGGATCCAACCATTGTACTTGCACCTACCATACATGAGACGAGAGTTCGCAAGTGGCAGGTGTTACCCGGGAGAACACATCCTGTGATGACCGCGCGTGGAGGAGCGGAGGGGGTGGTGTTTACTGGTACTCGGGTGTTGCCGGTTGAAGGGAAGGTGGAGGCTAGAGGGAGATTTAGGGGGCAGAAAAGAAGAAGGGATGACGGCGGTGATAGTGACGATGAAGAGGCGGGTGCGGGGGGGAGGGGCGGGGCCATGCCGACATCCCCCTGTAAGAGGGTTAAAATGGAAGTTTGAGTGTATAATTAATGTACTAAAGGTATCATACGCTTTGTGTTTGTGTTTGCATGTGTTAGTGGGTCAAAAGTCAATGGCACCTAACTTGAGGCCTAACTTCAAAGTCCGGGGGATGATCCACTGACACCGCTGGGTTAGCAAATTCCTGCTTAGGCTGTACAATAAAAGTAGACTGGCCAAACAGCTTTATACGCATCTGTCAGTGTCAAAAGCTTCCCTTGCCGTTACTCGCGCGCAACGGAATTACACGTTTGATGCCCCCACAGCCCCCAATACAACTGAAAACCCAAACTCTGAATCTCGCTGTATCACTGAGAATAACAGAAGCGCATCTCCTTGCTATCACATAAACAATTCAGGCCCAAGGCACTTATCTCTATATCCCTCGAATAACAAAACGAACTTATAATTATCACAAATACCGTACCCCATCCCAAGTTATTCATTTATGTGGACGATCACCAGGCACAATCCACCCCTCAACACTCCGGGGGAAGCACACCGGGGTTGGGCACCACCAGCCACAAAAAGCTGTGGAAAACCCCTTCTAGAGTGGTGACAGAGGAGTGACAAACCATCAGCATTAAGCTATTCTACGGTGGGCGTTGCTTGGAATCGCCAGATACAGCTTCTCGGCTTGAGAGAACTCAATAGCATTAAGTTAACTGGGGGAGAGTTGCTCATTTCATTTACGTTGTTTGCAAAAGTGAGTCTGGTCGGCTACTCGGACATACACCTACGGCAGAGCTGCACAATCGCTACGGGATCGGGGGCGGGCGTGAGGTTGTTTGGAATGATGAAATGGCAAGGGGCAATGGGAAATGGGCTTCCTCTGACGTCCGATATTGTGGCGGTAGAGCAAGTATGGTATTGGATATTTGTCTAATTGGTTCCAATCCGATAATAACATTGTCAAAAAAAAGTAAATAGATAACATTTGCTATGTTAAAGAATTTTAGTGCGATTGATCCTCGGGACGGGAATAGATCTGTGGGAAGGGATCAGAATCTCGCACCCGGGTCCTCTCTCATACTGGGAATTTACTATAATATTATATAGGTCATTTAGAGTGGTACTGTATGGCTTAGTCTATATACTACAGGGAAGCTCTTGAACGGGTTCCTTGCCCGGTATCTGACTCAAACAAAACTGCGAGGCCATGTCCGAACGATTACGGTACAGTGGCTGGGAGGGTCAATGGTATAGCTACATAGAAAAATCACAGTGTTTTCTAAGTTATTAGAATACATTAGCTCCGACAATCACCGTATCCTAAAGAAATTAGACTTATTACTACAATAGGAGCCGGGGTTGAAAGCTCTTTAGCTGCTTCTGGTGTATCACTTGGAATATTTCTTGGCGGACTTGATCCATGAAGTCAACAAGCTCTACATTTAGCTTGCGCCCTTGAGGTTTGTAATGGTGCAAAGTATTGTGCTTGGGCAGATATGTTTCTCTGTGATAGGAGTAGTTCTTTTATAGAAAAATGAGTAATTTAAGGAAGGAGGGGGAGGTGGTCTTCTATTTATATATCATGCCTTCAGATCAGATACCGTTATTACTCCTTCGATACCCTTTTTTAGAGGAGGTAGTGTTCACCGATACCAATGCCTCCGGGGCTAAAACCAACACACTCTGAAGTTAATAAGTTACGCAGATCGAGTCCCCAATTCAAGTCACACCAAGAATCACATCAAGTTATCCATGGCCAGCAATCCAAGCAGGGTTCCACGAGAAACCGGAAGTTCACGGTTTCGTACAGTTGCTGCACGGAACAGCGCTCCAACCCAATCCCCCCGATTTAACCCCCCATTCCTCCAGGCACAAACCCAATAGTCGACGGACAGACAGACGGCCCTTCTCAACCATGTTTCGCTGATCATACTTGTATGCCTACCGATTACCATTGCTAGCCTAGCAGTCCAGTGGCTCAATCATTCCATCGATCTTGAGGGAAGCTCTGCTCGAGTACACACGGGTACACACTGCGTACATCTACCGTAGGATCTCGCCCGATTCACACATTCTAGGAACAAGTCTAGAAAATACGATTTCGGAATTTCTGATGCTAAACGTCCCAATTGCCTATTGTCGCGCATTCGGGCGACTTGTAAGCCATTCATCTGGGTTAAGATATTGGCATTCCCGGCAGGGGATCCTTAGGACTCGAGCCACATCAAGCTCCGAGAGGGGTTCATTCCTTCAGCCTCTGGATACACAATAGTATCATATCTACCGATCCACGGGGTATTCATAGCGCCAATTTTTCGAGAAAGAGGTACAAACTAACACTGATATTTTGAGATCCTACCCAAGAATAACAAAGCCACCGAATCAACCTGACCGTTAGTGAGATACCGGTAGTCAGGCACTGAAACTTTGAGTAATCTCCGTGATAATAGTAAAAGCGATGATTCACGGTGCCACTAAGAGAACATGTACCGGTATCTCATCCTAGATGTCCACCTTGACACAGAACCGGTACTGTGCTGTACTGTACAGTACCTACACAGCTCCCACCTTTGCTCTTTCCCCTACCGGTGTGATGGTACAGTACTCGTATAGTACCGGCACTCTACGGATACTATCCGCGCTAAGGCAGGGCCACATACTGAGTAATCTCCCCCCCAGAATCTCGCTTTACCCCCCCCTCCCCCTTCAACATTCCATCCCTTGAGCAACCCATTTTTCCTTTTTCAACAACCCACCACCAAGACCATTCCTCGAACCCCATAGGTTTCAGCAATTCGCAGCGCTCTGCACTACGGCACTCCCACAACGAGCAAATGATCATCCAACAATTATACAACCACGCTTCTCTTAGAAAAAGAAAAAGAAAACAAAAATACACAACAAACGAACTCGCACTAACTAGTTAGAAATTCTACCGTGAAGTTTCGAATAAAGCTCGGACATGCACTGTACGATTGGATACGCCATGTCAATCACGAGACAAGCGATGTCTGCTACCATGCCATACCATATCTCCAAAGCAACGAGTAGAAGAGTGGGGAAACTTCACAGTATCAGGAGGGTGTAGAGAGTCAATGATATACTCGAGCATATTATAGCGCAATTACCATGAGCTATATCTTCTCACTTCCACTATCCTCTCCTGCGAAAATCATCCATCCAACCAACTGGCCAACCCGCGCTTATACGACCACAACTACGAGTGACGATTCTAGCAATACTCGTATATGCGTTGTCAGATTCTCAATTATACCCCATTTTCCTCCCTCCAGTTAGAGGGAAGGATGACCCAATTCGTTTGCACACTAGACTTCTGGCTATAGCTTTGGGTGCATCGGAGCAGTGCGGGCTGATGATTCGGTCACGGGAGTTTGTGTTCTCTTTCGTGGGTGCAGTATGGAAATTGGCCTATGGGGAGCCCTTTTTTTTTTTTTTTCGTGATCACGAGTGACATGTGGAGTGAATGGGAACAGACTGGAGTGGGCTGCAGTGGAGGGCGAATGAAAGAAGGTTGCAATTCTGGATTTTGCACTTTGGCCACTGCCATTCTCACGCCGTGGTTCGCGTGTGGAGACTCCTGCACTTCTCTTTCGTGTTGGAATGGAAACGTTATGCAGTCCCTCACAATGCAGTTATTAACTTTCTCCGCATGGTCTGTGTTCTTGGAGACCACTCTTGATAAGACATCTGCACCCCGTTAATAATGGCATCGTGTTACCATCCCCCGGAATTAACTCTATAGTTGCACAGAGACTCACTCGCAGTGGTAGTACCGGTATGAGAATATTAACAATCCAGCTCATGTAGGGTCATTGACGGTCTCAAGAGCGATCATTTCTCCGGAAACGTTGCTACTCAATCTCAATCTCAACCATCGTCCGCCACCATCACACACCATCACAACAGATATCCCCTACTGGTCCCACCGAGGCTCAAAACATCAGGTGAAAATAGAGCGCCTTTCGATATTATGGCAATGACTCTATACAACAGCACGCGACTTAAATCACAGACTGCGAGAGTCAGATATTATGGGGCATAATACCTTATCATGTCCATGCCTTATCTATGCTAGCCCTTTTCTATTGGCTCAAAATTTTACCTGCGTACGCCATCCCAATATCATAATACCATCATATATCAGGCCATGATCCCGGATTCCCACGTTGGGGAGAGACTTCTTAGGGTAGAGATTCCAGCCCAAACCGGGAAGGGCTAATAGGGTAAAAAAGAGGATGCCTCTACTTCCTGACTCTGGGTCAAATATTTCGAGAGTTTCTGCATGATCAATCACCTCACCGAGAGTCCTGAAACTGGATTTGTGAGTGCGGGGCCTTGCCCGTTATTAGTATAATAATAATATTGTTATGGTGAAGAGATTGGGCATAATAGATTCTGATGCTTTATCGAAATTCTTTGCCCTTTACATCTGCTGATTTTGGGTGATGGCGTATTGAAAATCTACGATGTTCCTGGATGGATGAGAAGAAACGATACAATTCGAAGCTAATCAGCTCCGACTTGTCCAGGGGAGTAAAAAAGTCGCTTTACTATTCTCCCCCATTCCATCTGGAGAAATCAGAGTCACTTGTGAAAGGATTTTTGGCAAGATTCCAACCATATAACTAAGCACGTAATAATATTTACGCCAGCTGCGTGCTGCTCCCCATTGAGCAGCACTGTACTGTACCCGACCACTGGAGCCTTTTTTTTTCACATCTGCACACTGTTATAGCTCCCCAGACAATCCACCGGATACCACAGGTCGGCGACGTGAATATCAGTGTAAATTCGGACTTCCCGATTGGCGAAGAATCTTTCTCGAATCTTTATGAATTGTATGACACTCTGGTGCTGCGGGGCCTCGACTTTCGGGGACCATGATAATCGGCATTGCTCCGATTTAGCTATTCCCCAATGTGACCGTAATTTCAACCATCGTACTGCTTATTTATGATATTATTCCTCTACTCACCGACTCACCTACTCAAGACAGCGGGAGCGCTAAAACTGCCAACCACTGCTCGCAGCCAGCTGCTCAGATGTACTAGTACAGTATCATAATCGAGTACTAGTACAGTACATGCACTAGTACTGTACATACACCCTTCCATGGGCAGTCTTTTCCGAGGTGCTGGGTATAAAGACTTTGTGAATTACTGGTAGCTTACACCTAAAATCCTGGCCTGACCTGATCAATGTCCTGCGCAGTTCAGCCTTTTCCTCACCTAACACGCTGGCAAGGCCGATGACACGCATTCGATCTTGTATCAACCCTATCCCGCCGCCAGCGCGGGCGGATCTTGTTAGGCTAGATCGAGGTACTGTGGTCCCCTTCGCAAATATGATACAATTTAGACTTGACGGTAATTCTATGCGACAGCCCTACTCGAGTATGATACTTGTACCTGGAAGGAATGTCGTGTTGGTTTTATCATTACTGGAATCTAATCTCTTGGCATCCCGCACTGATCCGGCCCAGGAACGCTTTGGTTGCATGGTCGGGAACACGGGTGCGCACAAGCGTCCCTCAAAATACATGTAAATTTAACATGGTCTCATTTGAGCAGATCTGTCGATGGTAATTGGCAATAAGTTACTGTACTCCTACAAGTACTCGAGTACTCGAGTAAGCCCTAGGAAGACTCCACGCATTTTCGCGGTCCGAGCTGCATATCTGACTCCACGACATTCCTACAGAAACGGCACATCTCCTGACGCGATTCTATTCCTGATGTTCGCCGCAGCACTTTAGGCCAACGTTTGATAACTGTTTCAATTGATGTAGTGGATTAGAAATTTGGCAAAGGGATTGACCAATTCCTCGCTAGCCCAACATGAATTGCGTCAGAGCGAAGGGAGCGGGCAGAAATGTCACAATAAAGTCAGCGGATGTGAGGCCAGTCCGATGGTCGGTTTGTAAACAGGTTAACGTTTTCTTAACATTGGACGAAGAGGTTTCCGACAGCGGATTCGACAGGGAACCCGCGTGTTACCCACGCATAATCGGCCCTTCGTGGAAAAAAGCGGACCTGTATCAACCTTTTAGTTCATCTAAAGTTTACCTTCCTCACCCAAGGACGAACCAACCCGGGCTTTCTTAGACATGTTGGGCCAACTAGCCATAAGTCAAGACACAGCAGCTAACGACCACATCGCCCGCCTGCCAGCGCTCTTTGGCGCTTGCTGGTTTTCTCGAGATCCTACAGCCCCACACTCCCTTACCGGTACGTACCTGTGCGAGTGCCGGGAGGGGACTACACGATTCGTGTTTGCCGCCCACGCCTCTCGCTTAACCGATTCTGCGGCTCACGGTTTCCCGCAGGAAATTGGTCAAGGGAAAGAAACAGGGAAAGAAAAAGGAAACAGGGGAGAGGAGAACAGGAGAACGGCCGGTACCAGAGGGAGAGGTGAGGAAGGGTGGAGAGAGCGGTTTTCTCGTTACTCGACTGGGGAATTCCTCATACAGATACCGTAGGGAACCGGTTCGAGTACCATACTTGACAGGACTTTTATGGAGAGAAAAATTTCCGCCTACCATTCTCTTACCGTCGGCGACTTGCGTGGTCTCTATTTCTTGGTGGTTGAAAGGTGTCTATGGGCGGGTCTGCAGGTGATTTGCCAATCCGGGAGCCCGCATGGGTTCAGATACTTGTACGTTTTCAACTGCATGCAGGCCTGCTTTCCATGCTCAATCGCCATCGATCCGAATGGGGCTTTGCTGTGAGTGCGGTATCGGTATGAGAGCAACGCTCTCATGCCCTATTCAACCCACAACTTTGCCATGTTGTCAAATGGACCAGATCCTTAGTGGTGAAAATCCGATTCTTCTACTTTTTCTTGAGCCTTTATTTTTCCTCCTATGAGTGCTATTCCTCCTACTGCCGCTTACGCTAACAGGTGAGGATGTAGGTTGAGGAGGTGGGCTCGACTGACGTGGAACAAGTTATTGGGGTGGGGTTACCTTTGATCGGTGATGGAGTGCCTGCCGTCTACCTTCTTCTGCGCACTCGAGTATGCCTCTGGGTGCTGCCAGGCTGCTCCTCGTTTATCCCCCAATCGTCTGAAACGTACTTGAGGCCTGGTATATATATATACTCGCCACGAGAGAATGGGGGAAAGCCCCTGAGCTGGCTGTTGGGTTTTTTGTTCGACGTGGGCGATAGGGTGAAAAATTCATTATTATTTTTTAACAACATCATCTTGATTACCGGGCGGTGCCTGTTATTCCCGATTATTTCGTTGTGGAACTGTTCAATTCTCTTTTTGTTAATTTCTTATAGTTTATTTCCGCCTTTAGCTGGAGAGTATAGTTTTTTGTCCAAAGTCCCTTTAGTGCTTTCATTTCAGATCACACCCTATCACGCGGAAAATGTCGACTGTACGAGGAAACTCTGTGCGAGCAAATTCAGTACGACAAAGGCCAAGAAGGAATACCAAAGCAGAGCCTCTCGAAATTGTCGACCCAAATACATTTGTGTGGCCGGAGAGGAGTCGGAAGAACTTTGTTCAGCTTGTTGCGTTGCAATGCCTGCTTAATCCGACACCCCAGAGACAGATAGTCCAACCGGTCGATCAGAATGCCGATTCGAGAGAGAAGAGAGGTGGATACCGGAGCATGCTGCCACAAAAGGTCGAACGGGATTTGACAGAACATTTCGCCTTCTTGGTTGCCGCGGGAGCTGGTGATACCGCCTGCTGTGTAGAGGAGGAATATGTCATTGATGTCGGCAGCACGCTCAGGTTTAGGGTTGCTATGAAAGAGGGGGTCTCTCAATGGATATTGGATGGGCTTCGAGGCGTTTGTAGTGAAATTAGCAAGCTTGCGAGGGGTGGTAAGAGCACTGCCCGAACCTAGCGACATATTGGAAGTTTCTACTGACCTTCCTACCCTAGAATCGCTCGAAGCCGATGTTAAGGCGGAGACATGGCGAAGGGTCCTCGAACTTGAGCGGCCGAGAATCCATGCGGACTTAGAAGAGAGGTTTTCTAAGGCTAGTAGATCATTGCCCGAGCTTTTCGAGGAATCGTTGGGCACGAAAGATGCAAACATTACCGAATCGCTCGTCGACGAAGAGGCGAGACTTGTGCTCCAGAAAATCTACGACTTGTGTACGAGGGTTGTCACTATGGATAGGGAGAAAACTGGGAAAGACTTGGAGAGATTACTAGACACCTGCTATCGGTTCCGCGTGTCCAGAAATTTCCGAGCGTTCTTGAAATCGGTTCACAGCCCGAGGCCACTGACGAAAATGATCGAGAAACTGGGGAGATACAAGTCCGCCAGCGTGGCTCTAGTAACAGGAGCCAAGAGGTACCCCGAGATGTTCACCAACCTCGAGGTCGAAGCGGTCCCCCAACTTGCCTCAGAAGCCGCAGCATCTATGGGTTTTCGCGGCATCTACGTTGGCGATGTTGCCCAAGAATTGACCGCAAATAGCGAGCAACAATGCCTCAAGCGCCTTCAATCAGTTACCGACCTGAAGGGCGAAAGGCTTGCGAGCCGATATCAAGAGCTTTGCCAGGAGAAGCTCGCGGTACATGCTGAAATCCAGATGGTGAAGTTCTACGAAGAGAACCCACATATCGGGCGTCCCACATTTATCGGGTGCAGCAAGAAATCGTGCTATCTCTGCACGCTCTTTATTCAATTAGAAGGGAAGTTTGATGTAGCTACGAAAGCCCAGAGTCACTACCAACCCATCCTTTACAACAGCTGGACTGTGCCCACAATGAAGTGCTCTAGTCCCGAGAATGCGGTTATGTACACCTTTGTCGTCGACAAAATGTCCAGGATTTTGGAGGACTCGTGCAGAACAATACTCTGGGAGAATAGCAGCAGGGAGGCCAAATTTAACAATCACTTCACTTCAAACTTCCCTCTTACCTCACAAGTGCTTGGATTCGAGGCTCCTAGCGGCCCCTTGCCGTCGCCCGCACCGGTTTCCCGTATGGTGTCCACACTACGTGCGGCGATACCGGCATTGCCCCGCATGGCATCGTCCTACAATCTATCCTCCGGGGCAACTACACCTACCAATATCCCTTTGAGTCCACTTTCGCCGACGTTTTTTGGAAATCTTCCATCGCTAGGCCTTTTATCCACTCCTAGCTCGCGGGTACAGTCGCCAGGTCTGATTCCGATGGCACTCTCGAAGCTACCTAGCAAGCAAACACCAGTGCTTGATATTCCGACCACTCCTGTAAAACTTCCGAACCAAGCTCCGGAAATTCCAGAGGCTATCACTGCACCAACCACTACAGCTCTTCCGGCTCCCGTTTCTGCACCTTCCCCAAGGCCGCGGAAGCATACCCCGCCACCTCCAATCACACCTCCAGCTATTGAGTCAGGATTTCCCCGAACCCTTTCTGAGCCCGAAATATTTACTCCAGACCGAGAGCCAACACCTGTGATTGCTCCCGCGAAAAGGGAACCTGCACCAATCCAATCCCAAGTACCCAAAAGTGAGCGTACCCCACCGACACCAAACTCACCAGGGGCGGAATCAGCCGAGGGCTCAGAAGACCCCTTCGACTTATTAGTCCTGCCAATTCAGAGACATTCACCTCTTGTGAACTCAGTTGAATCCCCTTCTCCAACCCCAAGCCCCCCCCCGAAGCCCATGAAAAAGCAAACACTACACGCAAAGCCAACAACACCTCCACCAGCTCCCCGGCCTGCGTCTGGCCCTGCGCCATTACCGTCTCCGCCCTCCTCTACTGGATCCCTATCAAAGCCTTGGCCTTCCCGTGTTCAGACTAGAGAAACTGGCCTTCCCCCCACTCCCGCGGACAGCCCAACTCCAACCTCGGGGTCCTATTTCCCCAAGTCCGAGCCAATCCGTATCAAACCTATGGCCAACTTTTCCCGTCCCACATGTGAATTCCCGCCAACACCTCCTACCTCCTACAAGGCTACTTCATCGATTCCCTGGCCTGCCCGAGCGGAAACCGTGATGGCGACCGGCCTCCCAGCCCCAACGATTGCACCGTCAACCTCACCTAAGTCGCTTGCCGCCATGACCTCTCGCCCATCGACACCGGCTAATCCTCCAACCCGCGTGAGCTCGTTCCGAAGGCAAGCTGCAAGCCCCCCGACACAAACGCACATCCCCAGACCCTCTTCCAAAGCTTCAACAAGGCCTCCGCCACCGCCCTCTACAGAATATTCTTCTCCGGTTTCCTCTCTCAGGCTTGTTCGAAAACAAACTCCCCCGCAAACCGCGGCAATAGCAGTCTCGATGGCAGCTTCCATCCCAAGACTTTCCAAGTCGCCGCCGCTAAGATCTTCGCGGAGAGCACTTATCTCGGAAGCTCGGACCGAGAAGGTCACCTCTGCAATCGCCCTCGAAGCTTCCAAAATTCGCCCAGCAGCCGCCGGAACAACGCCGGACAACAGAGTATCCTCCGATAGTGGGCAAACCTCTGCCGGGGGTGTTGTGCTCGCTCATTCACCAGGAACCCACGCTTCCACTTCTCCAGCCACTGCGCTTCACTCCGAGGCTCCTGCCAGCGAATCCATCTTAGCACAAGTCATCCGAAAGAAAAGCGAAGTCAAACCACCTTCCGATACCAAACTCCCTTTCACGGCTCCGGAAACACTAAGCGTACCCGAAGACCCGGGGAACAACAGAGGAGATTCCATGGAGGTCCACGTTGTAGCACGCAACGAGGATGGTGAATCACTTAGCGGATCGCGAAGAGGAAGCCGTGGCGAAAGCACCATCATCGAAGATAGTGTTGAAAGCGGCCTAAAGTCTCCCTCTAAGCTTATAAAATTTAAGCCTAGTGCGGAGAAGGAGTTGGATCCATCATTCGTCAGGAGACGATACGTCGAAGGCGAAAACCGAGGCCTGAAGGCAGTGGGAGTAAGGTCTGCAATTAGCACAGAAAACAGCGGACACCCGAGACCCCAAGGGTTGGGCGGTGTGCAGAGGACTGGCAGCAGCAGAAGAAAGGCCTCACCCTCGTCGCCGTCAAAGCTTCCAACACCATCACCACCAAAGGGTACCGGTAGCTCTTCATTCTTGAACATCAACGGAACTCATAGAAGCACCCGCAATAAATCCGGTGGCGTTGAAACCGAGTACACCCTGTACCTAGCAAACCAGACTTCGCAGCCAGGACAGCCGCCACTCGGGGAAAAGCTTTTCACAGGAAAATTGAGCGATAGGAAGGGACCGGGAGAGATCAAGCAGCGAGTAGGCTGCAGGTTGCGGACAGAATTGAGGCCAAGGGAAGGAGGTGTGCAGAGTGATAAGATGAGAGTCAGGGAGATAGCCAAGAGCCTCGAGCAAATGGTGTTGGATATCTTCTTCCCAGATGCAGTATTGAGACTGGAAGTATTCTGGGATGTATAAGGCATGAGGGCAAAAACAAAAAAGATAGCCATTTCATGATTTTCTTTTCTTTTCTTTTCCTTTCGGATAAACCTCCTCGTTAGGCGTCTCACTTTCCTGCACATCTTTTCCTCCTTTTTCCCTTTTAAGTTTCTCGGGAAGAGGTGTTTCTTTCTAATCAGGCGTTGTTCAGTATTTTTTATTTTTATTTTTATTTATTTTTATCCTGTCACTTTTTTCATTCTTTTCACTTTTTATTTTTATTTTTTCACCATTCTCGTCTCCCATCAGTAGTACTACTGGCAAGGCGGCGAGTATTTCGTAGGAATTAACAAAGTTAGTGATCATCCTGTGTGTATGATGTGTTTGTGTGTGCAGAATTATACAAGTACGAGTACAATTAGAATTGGCAGGAGTGGAGAGAGAATAAGCGATCAGACTAAACAAAGGAAAGAAAAAAAAGGAAAAACGGGGGAAAATGAAGCAACATTGTGAACACGAGGCATTCCTCTAGCTTTATACTATAATTGTTTCCTTTTCTGCAAACTCACGATTTATGTGTTTCATTTCGTTTCGTCCGGGAAGTTTATTCCCCGAATATTACAATAAATGGGTTTTTGCCTGTGACAAGCAAGCACTATTATTTTAGATTATCGTGGTATCGGAAACGTACTGTGCCCCGAACAAAAGAGGGCCTAGAAGGAAAGGGAATGAAAGAAGGAAGGAAAAATGTGAAGGAGGAAGAAACCCCCCCCCCGACCGAAAGGCACAATAATTTGAGCTGCCATATGGTGCTGGTACAGTATTCCTTACCCGTTTGTAGAACTTCCTGCAGTACTGCGATCATAATTCGGGCCTGATCCTACACCCTACTGTACTTGTACTTACTATACGCAGAACAAGCATGGGGATGAGGTGAGCAGGGAAACCTTCGGGAAGGAAAGCAAAGGAAAATATCATTTTTTTTCCCCCTCCCATCCACTCTCAATTTTACTTCCTTCCTCAGCCTTATGAGCTATCATAGGAAAGAAAAGAAAAAAAGTCTCGAGCTAGCACCGAGATCTGCAAGGCTGCTACAGCGGCAATGGCTAGAGGTGTAGCTGTTTTTCGGTTTCTGCTGAGTGCGGATCATTCGTTGTTGATCTTGATCCTGATGCTACTGTACGGGCACGGCATCTACTGTACGTATGTGAGTTTTGACTTTTTTTCTATTCGCCTTCTCACTACCATACCGGTATCTCGTTTCTTCCTTCTTTTCCTTCCTTCCTTCCTTCCTTCCTTTCCCCTTTTTCAGCCCCACCCCCCACTCTCTCTCTTCCTTTTGGTTGCACAGGTCTGGAACCTATTGAAAGCTACATTATCATATGGGGCAGTTTCTTCCTGAGCACAGTACTATACTAGTACAGTACAGCGCCGCATGGTAGGAATACGGTACTATATTGTGCTCGTACTGTACTGTACTTGTACCAGTTAAGCTATCACTTCGAGTGAGACAGGGAGAAAATGGAAGGAAAAAAATACCGGTAGCTAAATGAAACGCTGTAGACGAGAAAAGAAAAAAGGCCCTCCCAGTGTGGTTTCAAATCCGAGCAATTAAGTTGGGGAGGGGGGGCTATTTCGTTCCTTGTGAGGAGGAGAGAAAAAAAGAGCTTTTTTACTTTTCTTTACTTTGCCAACAAACGAGACAGCTAGTGATTGAGGTGGTTACCTCGTGCCGTATAATATCGCAATACCCTTACCCTCGCCCTACTATGAGTTGAGTGAGGTTACTTGGGAGAGGAGGAAGAGGAAGAGGGGGGAGAAGGAGGGGGGGGCAGAGGGGGAGAGCCGGGGGGGATTTTTATGAAATTGATCTTCTGCATGGTAAACCCTGTTGATTGTGGGGATAGAGGGAAGAGATTATTTTGGTTAGCCCAACTGTACGCTTCCACGTTTTTGGCGGTGGTAGATTTAGATGATTGGGGGGGGGTCTTTTTTTTCTTTTTTTTTTTTTTCTTTCTTCCTTTTCTTCTTGAGGGGGCCCTTTTTCCCTTGTATGATAAACATGGGGGAGGAGAGATCTGGATGAATTTGGATCCCTTCATTGCTTTTAGAGGGGGTTGTTGGTGGGCCGTACCAGCACAGTACTGTACAATTGGATTTCCATTTCATCGTTAGAGAATGAGGGGAAGGGGGGAGGGGGATTGGGTACCGGTAGGTGGATTAGTGAGGTGAGGCAAGTGCTGTGTATTGCTAGGAAGGGTGAAGCCCGTAACTTCACTATGCGCAGTTTGGCTACAGTAGGTAGGGTGTCTGGATTTGTTGTATCATAGCTATCATACTATACTCGAGTACAGTGCCGATACAGCAACGGTATTAACGCTTTGTTGAATCGGGTCGAGACTCTCTAACCCTCTCACCCTCCTCCATTCCTCTTCATCCCTCCATTACCCTTTCTGTCCCTTCCTGTTTCTCCAACGTTTAACTCCAGATCTCGCCTCTGCTCCTCCTTCCTTCCCACCTGCTTCTGCATAACACGGTACAGCACTGTACAGTACCTCGATTGACGCTCTGACACTCGTCCATTTTCACTCGCTCAATCACAATGCCTCTCTACATAATGGCTCCCCACTTCCCCTTCCCCCTCCCTCCCTTCAACTCTGCCTTCTGCCTTCCTGCCGCGCTTGCTACCTAACCGTGATTCGGACACTGCGGTCCCCATGTAATTGTCCAACGTATGATGATATAACTATAACTCATAGGATAGACTTCCTTACTCTCTCACGAGGAGCAACAGCATCAAGGAGGAAGGAAGGAGGCGAAGAGTTCTGGAAGAGGAGGAACAATAAGGAAGGAAGGAAAAATAAAATAAAACAAGAATATACAAATATCTGATGACGAGGTCAACTTCAACTGAGGAATAAGTTAAAAGAGTCTCGGCCCCACCAAGCGATAAGCGATAAACAAAGCCTAATACTTTTTCATTAAATTTTGCTATTTATTGTTTTTTTTTTTTCTTTCTTTTTTTTTCTTTTCCCTTTCCCTTTCCCTTTCCTTAGAGCCAACCTAACCTGGCTTGACCTCCCTGCGTTGTCTAGCTTGTCCCTTTCTCTCCCTCTCTCCCTCTCTCTTTCTCATTCTCCCCTCTCCGCCTCCCTCTCTCCTCCCCTCCCCCTCTCCCCCCTCTCCCTCTCGGTCTGTCTGTCCGGCCGTCTGCCCCTTTGCCCGCCTACCGGTATTCTAGTTAGGAAAGTGGTCCGTAAAGTGAGTGGGAGGAAGAGGAAGAGGAAGAAGTAAAATACACTGGACCCCGCACTTCTTTCTTTCCCACTTTCTTACACACTTTACTCACTTGCTCACCCAAAACACATTCACCTCAAACTTCCCATACTTACCACTTCTATTCCTCCCTCCCTCCTCCCCCCTCAATCTCCTAGTATTCCGTGTGCTCTTGCTGCCCACTCCTATCCATAACATTCCCGTTTTCTAGCGAGGCTTCTTTCCTTTTCTATTTGTCGTCGTCAGCTTAGCTTCATCCGCCATCCTAACCATTCTTGCCTAATTTACGTCCCCGTTTACATCACCAAAACTCAATCCTATTCCTGATAACCCCTACTCTTACACCTACTTCCCTTAGTTTTCATTCTCTACTCTCTCTCTCTTTTCCTTCTCCTCTTCTCCTCTCCTCTCCTCCACTCGTCTACGACTTTCTCGCCTCAAATATTCAGCCCTTTTCGGTCTTTCTCAGCACCGGAGGCGTTCAGTAGCATTGACACCCTCCTCGCATCTGCCCCCCCACTCCGCTTGTATCCTCTAGAGTTGCACAGCTTAGCTAGCTGTGGGGCTTTCGAGGACAAACTCCAGTCCCCTTTCTCGTAAGATTCTTACTCTAGCTTTCCCATTCTTGGCTTTCGTTTTTCGCAACAATGGAGGACTTTTGGACATGGCAGGACTTGGTGTTTGACTTTTCCGACAGTCAGTCAAGCATGGATTCCACGCCTCCTTCTCCCGAGATACCTCCTACACTATCACCGGAGCCAGAGCAAGCCCCCAAACGCCGCAAGGTGGGCAACGGGTTGAGCGGTTTTCAGATTATCCCTAGCGACCGGAGACCTATTCAGTGTGCCAGGCCGAGAAAATCGAGCGGTCCTCTTACCTTGCGCCGGGCCAAACCGATCAAGTCGCATATTCCCTACGAGATCTGGTTAAACATATTCTCGTTCTGCACCCCACAAACGCTAGCCAAACTCCGTCGTGTCAACTCCACTTTCAAGTCCTTCATAGACGATGAGAGGGTTTGGGCTACTAGCAGAAAGAGTAATTTTCCTCATTTTCCGGAACCCATTTACGGCTATCCGGAGAATTACATGTGGAATTTGTGGAGGGGCATGGGGTGCATGATTTGTGGGGCTGCTCGTGTTAAAAAAGTTTACTGGACTTGGGGGGTTAGAATGTGCTTTGAGTGCTTCAAAGAAGGGAGAATGAAGGTAAGACCTATTCTTTCGTTTCGCCTCTTTTTCCGCTTTAGAAAACTTTATTATTTGCCAAATATTCCTCCCCCACCCTCTCTCTTCTCCATCCCCTTCCTGCCCGCCCCAGAAGGTTACAGCATCCAAACGTACACAGTTCATGCTTACCACTTTCCCAATTGACCCCTTCCCCCATTTGGGAAGGAATGAAGAAAGTTATTTATTAACTATAGAAATTAGGCTGATGAAATTTACGGACCCGGGGATTTCTGCCAAAATGCCAAAAAGTGTTTGAGGCATTGCTACATATCCGGTAAGCATTCTCACCTCTAGTCTCGATATATAGCTGTAGACCATTTACGATCTAGTTCCCCCCTTCCTTTTGGAATTTATAGCAATCTTTTCTCCCCAGCATATGCTGATTTTTTGTTGGGATTAGGGAGATCTGTCACTACCGAGCGTGACATATATTACGGCGGTGAACCAGCTTATTGGCGGGACGAAGTTCAAACCTTCAAGAACGAGTACTTTGAACGCAAAAAGAAAGAAGACCCTGAAGTATTGAAAGTTTTCTTGGAGTTTGAGAGGAATAGGACTGTTGAATTGATGAAGACCGCTAGTGAGCTTCAAAAGTTCGAGAGGAAAGGTATTTTTTTATTATTATTTTTTACACTACCTAACTATACCAACTTCCAGGCTGAAATTCTCTTTTCTTCCTTTCCCCCTTCTAGAAACCGTAGCTCGTCGAGAGGAAATTGCGGCTATTCGTAAGCAGCGCAATGTTTCTATTCCAGAAAAATGCAAGACGGACTTTGACCCTCCGATCTCTGAGGAAGTCTTAGTGCTTATGCCGTCATATCTATCGGCCCTTAAATCCGGGTCTGTCTTTACGGAGCGATCCTGGAAGACGCTCGCAAAGAAACTCCAAGCAGAGAGGGAAAGTGCCGAAGCCAAGTACAATTCTAGACAAGCGCACAAGCGCCAGCTTCTTCAGGAAGCCGTTGACCGAAAGCGCAAGGAGAGACAGAAAGAGTGTCAGGATAACAAAGCCCTCCAGATCATTAATCTTGCGATGGGTGATCTGTTCAATGATGCCAAGGAATGTGTTCTGACGGAAGCTGGCGTCCTGCTAACGAATCCCACGCAATCGGCCTCATTTCTAATGGAAACTTTAGGCTATGTTTGGAGAAGCTGGCATCGATCCAACCCGGAATTGCAACTTTCGATGAGGGGGATCTTTTACCTCTGGGAAACGCTGTTCGTGGATCTGGCCATCCCCCTGGGTACGGAATTCCAATGCAAATTTTGCGAACAACGGGCTGGCTTTAAAGCAATGCTCAGCCACATAGCCGAAGAACACGTAAAATCTTGGCACCGTGCTAGGGGTATACTTGATTGGGACGGGGCCATATGGCCAGAGGTTTTGCCCTTCTTACCTGCTGGCTCCAAATTCACACCCCGCCTGTCCCATGATGAACGTTGGTGTTTGTCCGAGCCGTACAAGGTTGTCGAGCAGAGCAAGGGATGGAAACCAGGCGTTTTCACGGAGACGACCAGTTTACGTTCCAGTATCGTCCGATGTCTGAGACCTGTTAACGAATTAGAAGTGCCTCCAACGTTCAAGTTGGCGACGTTCCTTGCGAATCTGTCCAAAGAGGAAACCTTCCCCGGGTCACATGATATCAACTCTGTTTACTACGAAATTCTCAGGATTCTCAGGGCCCCGGATCACGATACCGAGTTTTTTTGCAATGCAAAGATTTTCTGCAAAATTTGTGTGGAAAATAAGACTCTCCTGCCCAGAAATAACCGTCCCGGAGGCTTTTTGCAACTCATCGAGCATTTTTGCGAGGAACACTACGCCATCATCGAGTTGGAGAACCCCGAAGGTCTAAACTGGAGGAAAGATATGATCCTACTTCCCGGGCCGAAAGATATCAAGACTATGTATCACAAGCTCCCCGACGAAATGCGTAAAAAGTGGGACAGAGCCAACGAGGCTACCGGACTCAATCTCGAAAGCTGCAAGGCAAAGATCGAAGAAGAGTTCGTGGGGAATCGCACCCCATCTTTACCTATGAGCATGTGGAAATACAGCGAACAGCTCTTGATCCCCTACCCCCCACCCACACCTATATCACCGGTCTGTGATCCCCTCGACACCGCATTCTGGGAGATGGATATACAAATGGATCTCTCAGAATCTCTTCAGGCATAGACAAAATATTTTACGACGATTACGAATCTCCCTTCTCCCTGTTTCTTTCTTAGGATTTTCTGGTGAACTTGAGGCTTAGGCGTAAATGTGTTGCTTTCCATTTTCTTTTCGTTTTCTTTTCCTCTCTTAATGCCCCCTTTCCTTTCCCGGGCCGGTTTTTTTGGCTGGAAAAAATTCCTTCTCGTTTTGCGTCATCTGGGGTCCTTTAGAGGTTTTCCGTTTTACGTGGCTTCCTTCGAATAATATCCTTCTACTCATGGGTTTCCCTTCTCTACCCCCTATCTTTCTTGTTATTTCTTCACGATAACCTTTTTATCCCATTGCTCTAGTGTATCCGGTGCCGCGTCGGGTCGTTGTAATATCATCTGTATTTTAATCATGGGATGTCACTCGAGTTGCTTTGTTTGTGAAAGATTGTGAGGCTTGAGGACTAGGAGGTTGTCGGGATGGAGATGAACATTGCAGCGGCTGAGGGGTTTTCCTGATAAACAAAATAAACAGAATTAGCTGCAGCTTCTTACTCCCTTTCTCTTTCTTTCTTTGCCGTCTTCCTTTACCTTTTACACCGGCTGAGGTATCTAGAAATATTCCTTGTTGACCTGGATGGGGTCGATGTTTCCTTGGCTGGGCTGGGTTGGCATCATATCATACTAAGTGTTTTACGGACCCGGTGGTTTTATAGCTCGACAGTTTTACGAACCGGTTTGGAGATCGCTGATTTTGTATTATAAGATTTATGAACATACTATTCTTGATGATCAACTCCTTGCAGCGCTTGCGGAGGAGTGGGTGAATTGTAGCAAGGGGGTTACCTCAGGGCATGCGCGTTCCTCTAGCACCAAAACGTGCTCTTCGGCACGGTCTAGAGTCTAGAGTAATCCCAGAGGAACCATCCAACAATCCTGCAAAAACAATGACTGCCCCGGTTTGACCATTAGCTAAAGCGAGATAAACACAGACTATTGAGCGGCACCCTTATCTTTGCCAACCGGGCCGCGATCGAAACCGGGACCAGTTTGCCAGGCCCACAACTGACCACTCCTCATGATATAACGATGTGTAATTAAATGCACATAATATCACTCGGCCGCCAACTGCCGGTTTGGGGTTTTTTTTTTTTTGCGCTGAGGTGAAGCTATTGTATGATACCTAGCTTAGAGGAAGCGACGGTGCCAAACCTAATGTGATGACAGAGTAGTATTATATGTCGGTTCCCTAGGTTTTGTATCATAATTTCCCTAGCAGCTGTAGTAGTAGTAGTAGTAGTAGTAGTAGTAGTAGTAGTAGTAGTAGTAGTATTAGTAGTAGTAGCGGTAAGGAACCAGCCATAACGTAAAGTATTAGGGGGCTCGGGGGGGTTACGAGCATTGTTTTTTTTTTTTTTTTGTGTGGAATGAATATGGATAGTTCTAGAGTTCGTCCTTAATCCTGTGCAATTTTTTTGGGTGTCTAAGCTATCACGCGTAGATCATATTTCTGAAAACTAAGGTTTAGTCAATTGAGGCCCCTTTTTAGCGTGCCAGTATATCTATATAACATCATATAAAAAAAAAGAACTCGGTATTCCCCGAAAAACAGAGTATTCCTTACATCACAAACCTCATACACACCCCGCCACAACAATCACAACGGCACATATATATAGTCTGGACCCGGACGAGTCGGGACCTCCCAGTCCTGGCAAAGTAATGTTTCCCTCCCCCTCCCCCTCCCCCAGGAGATGCAGCAAGTGTGTGTATCTTCTTGTGCAGAAGGGTATGCGCAGGAGAGCGTAGACGGCTATTACGCCCAGTCTTGTGCCGCGCATTGCGCTCACACTTCCTCTCCCCCCCCCCTCCTCTCACCTACTGGGGGAGAAGGCGGGGAATGCACACAGTATGGCGAGGTGGTGCAGGAGCGAGGAGGTCTAGGATATATGCTCAGGGTAATGACGGCGCGGTAGGTGGGAATGTCAGAATGGGCGTTGGGAGGGTGATTCGGAGGTGGTGAATGAATTTTGGTTCCGTGTGGGGAGGGAGGATGAAGTGGAGGACGGCGAGGGGTGGAAGAGGTGCGATCGTACATGTACTAGCCCTATGAGGTTGGAGAGGATCGCTTGTGTTTGGAATGCTGGTATTACCTATTGTCCATTCTTCAATTGTTAGCTATCTGGCTACTTCTATGGCTACAGATAGCCAAGGAAGATGGTAGGAGCGTACCCCCATACTGCTAATATCCGGATTCGAAGGTGTGTTGGGGGTGCGCACCCAACCATCACCACTGGCCATACTGACTCAATTAATCAATGAATCCTTTCTTAAACCCTTCCCCCCTTGTAGGAAACCGCACCCACAGTCATAGGTGTGATGGCCAGCTACCTACATACTCGTTCCTGCCCCCGCTGACCTCTCAACCTCCCGGAATAACTTCCTCAACCATCGCACGCATACTCTCTTTTGTCGTATTCCCCTCCCACACCCCTGATAGAGCAATTAGATTGTGATATCCACAATAAGACCACCTCGACGCGACCCAAGCACCAGCATTCAGAGGCTAACAGTAAGCAGCAATGTCCGTCCCTTCGTCGTTGCATCGACCATTCGCTCACAAAACACCAAAACTAAGCTCCAGAATTCCTGGTCCTTTGCCTCCCGGGAATTGAAACTAACAGATCCATCAGGCCGGCGTGAACCTAATTTAGAAGACGCAAAAAAAAACAGCCCGAGTGATTATTTGTGAAGCTATTACTATCTCGAGCCAAAACTTACAATAATGACAGAGCTATGATATGAAAGAAGACGAACAAAAAAATAGCAAAAATACACCAGCTCGCGTTTAACCATTCTTGACTACTGTAAAACAATCCCGTCCTGTCCACTCCCTCCCATTAAAACCCCTTGTGAAAACTTGTTACTTTCAAAAACATGCAGTTGGGAAATTTTTGCAATTTTTTGGATTGCTCATCTCCTCTAGCCTCCTCCCCTCCTCCACATCCACAGTCCAAAACAACTAAAAGACAACACCACATGCAATAGAAATCAATGACTCATACCCAACGTTATGGAATTGTCCTTTGGGTAAATCAAGGGAGAGAGAAGGGGTAGAATTTTAATGAGGGAATTGAATAAATAATAATAATTCCAGTAATTTCAAAGAGTTATTGGAGTCAAAGATAAAAAAGGAAACAAAATGAAATAGGATAAAAATCAAGGGAAAAATAAATAAATAAAAATACTCTATTCAACAACAATCTCAACGCCAGACTGAACATCAAGTTCCCCACCAGACGCACGATGATGCTGACCCCTCCTTGACGCAAAACCAGGCGCCCTCTCAGAATCCGGTCCCCGTGGCTGTCTAGTAGGCACAACTTGACCCCTGCCATCACTTCTAGTGGTAGAAGCCGACAAAGGCTCCTGGTCGTATGTACCTGCGCTGCTGCTGCCCATGCTAAAGTTCCTCGATCCGCTGTGATGCAAACCATTACTTCCTCCGCCCGTAGTAGAAATGCTCATGTTCTCTCGTTCATTACTCTCCCTTTCCCGTTCTCGCTGCTGACGCTCTCTCTCGGCAAGGACACCCCTAGGATCCCGGGGATCTCGAAGGCTCGCACCACCGACACCAAGATTACCACCCAGGGAGGACGTAAGCGACACTCCAGCAAGTCCATTCACGAGTAACGACTCACTAGCAATTGAAGCAGACACGGTAGTACCAGTTGCGGTTGGTGTCAGACTAGGAGTAGTCGAGGTGACGCTCCCATAATTATCAGTGTATCGAGAAATATTTCCCCCCAGAGCTGCAGGGTAGCTCGCAGATGACGGTACAGGGGATGGTGTGTACGACCTCAAGTCAGCAAACGATTTTGCAGCGCGCAAATTCTGGCGACTGTGCAGGGCGTCGGCTCGGCCAGATGGTGAGTTCGGGATGTCAAGCAGAGCATGCGCCTGTCTTCCCATTGTCGAGTAAATGCCGGCACCCTCTGAACGGGCATCACTAAAGTCCATCGTCGTGGCCCTTGTTAGAACTCGCCGTTGAGACTCAACTGGATGCACAGTCGTCGGAATGGAAGGAGGGCTGATGCTAGGGGTTGTAGAAATCGGAGCCCTAAACACGTGAACTTGACGCTGATCTCCATTCCCTCGAGACACATGTGCCAAGGCCATGTGGTGCGCAAGAGTATGGACAATGCGACGTTGTTGGGGTGAAAGTGTAGCAGGGAATATGAGGGCCTCGCGAGACACGTCATCACGGAACAGTAAAAGTTGTGAGTAAAACTGTAGAGTCTGGGGGTCGTTCAAATCGACGTCTGAGCGTGACTATTAGTCAATGCAAATACTGCACAATACAATGCGGCTGGCTATATGTATACAACCCCAAAATGCAGAAAGACCTGAGAAACACTATTGAATTTGGATGGGAGAAGCACTAACCTGGCTTTGATCGAGTAGCACTTGGAGATGGAGAAGTCGAAAGAGGAATATTGGGCTGAGAAAGAGGCATTTGCACAGGGCGATGTTGCTCTTCCAACTGACCTCTTCTTTCTCTCTTTTCCCTCTCGATACGCTCCCTCTCAGCCAAGGGCAACATCTTCTTATACTCTACTCGCAATTTCCGGCCCTGGAGCTCGTAGTGGTTCAATGTATCGATAACCGCTGCAGTCTCCTCAGCAGTAGTGAAATTGGCAAAAGCGAGTCCCCTGAAAACACCATTGTCAAAATGATAGTTGAACGCATATGGTAGTGGCAAGCCGAGTTCCGTCATTAACTGGACCAACTGCTCCTTCTTGATAGCGAAGGGAATGTTTTTGATCACTATAGCAGTAGGTATCAGTTCCTCTTCAGGGTCCGAACCAACTGTCTCGGTACGCATGGGGGAAGGTCCCAATAAAACATTTCCCATAGCAGAGAGTGGCGAAACCGTAGGTAGAGAAGGAGCTGGTTCGGTCCACATCTGTGACGGCGATGTCAGCAAACCCACGATTACATTAAACCATTGTGACCAAGCTTGAGCTTACCGCCGGTAAAGCACTCCTTTGTCTGGAAGGGGTCTTAATTCTTCCGGAAGCGCCTCCCATTGCAGCCAAAGCGCCAGGTCCTCCGAAGCTACTCGGATTCCATGTTTGTGCGCCCGAGGCTTCATATCCGTATCCCCCGGACATGCTAGTATCTAAACGAGCACTGCCATAGCGATTGGTATCGAACCTCGCAGCATGGTCCTCCGCGGTGTAAAGACCGCTCTGAGATGCAAATGTTTCAAAGTGCCGGGACGAGACCCGGTGTAAGGTCTGGTGTTGTTGCTGAGGTTGATGTTGGCCACTGGGCGAACGCGAGGAACCTATGGTGTCGTAATAATCGTGGTGGGTAGACATGATATTCTGAAAACACTGAGTATTTGCCAAGTCTAATGGATTCAAGAACGAGTTGCAGAATGCACCAGTATGAGGTTGTTCGAATGAAGACCGGAATACCTGTTCGTAGCCGTAAGGTAGAAAGAATCCAATAATCACAAGCCGTGCTTTCGAGATGCTGAAAGGCCTTGAATCCTGCCGTTTTGATTATACTTTTCCTTAGCAAGTAGGGTGAACCTCCTTGTCTGACGAATAAGCGTATTAAGAGTGTAAAATCTTGCTGGGTATCGTAGTCGTTGAACTGCCGTTACAAGTCTTTTTTTATCGTTTCGAGTACAAGAAAAAATTCGTGAACCAAAAAAAAAAAAACTCGAATATAAAAATATAAACGGAATATGCTGATATAAAAACAAAATAATAACGGGCCAAACGATAATGGATGCCTTTTCTTTTTCGTAAGAAAACAATATTTCGTGACCTTTTCAAGATAATGTCACAGTCGTTCTTGGATGCGTGGCTCGTGGCTGATCGTTAAAAGGCGTGGGTCTCGTTACCGAAAAAAGGGGCGGGGAAGATGTATGATGAGGGGTTTTCAACTCTCGTGACAACCGGCAGAGCAGAAGATATCGGACGGCCAGTGAGAATGAGAGAAGAAGGAGAAGGGTATGGTCGAAGGGGGAGAGACTTCTCGGATTTCAGAGGTGGTGAGTGGTGGTGGGATGAGATGAATAAGGGACGAGAGGGAGGTTGAAGGGGGGGTGGGTGGGTGAGCGGTGGAGGGGGGCGGAAGTTTGGGTGTGACGGTCAGTAAAATCGTAGTTCGGGAAAAGGAGGTGGAAGCAACGAGGTCGGGGGGTTGACCTTTTCTTCTTTTTTTCTCTCCTCCCTTCAACTGGCTTGGCCTTGGATACAGCAGCATGTCGGAGCAGCCAGCAAGACCGCAGTACTAACTTAGTACAATACTCGAGTACAGCAGCTGGGCCTACTCCTTTCTGCCTCGCCACTCGTAAAAAGTTATGGCGTCAAGCCAGTCAGAGAGAAAGAAAAGAAAAAAACGCCTAAATCAGTAACCAAACGGAGCAAAAAGGATGGGGTGGCCAGCACATGGTAGGAAATAAGTTAATTATCAATTATAGAATTTAACACCAAGACATTAAGTACTCGAGTATAGAAGGTTGTTGTTACAGATTCAGTGGGTTGTGCCCAACCCTCCACCCAAGCCTTCCACTTTATTCTCTGCCATATGATACGTATGTTAAAATAACATTATGGATCATTTACTTGAGCACATAGAAGACGGGCGAAGAGAGCACGACATTGGGAAGCTGTTGGCTGGGGCCTTGTCATCATTAATACCGTACTTGTTAAGAGCCCCCCAATGTTCTGCTGGTGAATCCTCGGCAGGCGGGCGAACGCGAATGAGTGACATGTGCACGGGGGTGTCAGTGAGAATTGGAAGACTATTTCTGCCAATCCCATATAAATCTCTATAGAGACAAGGGTTATGCTCTCCAATTTTCATGGGCACACCCAAACACAGTACTAATCAGTCCCTCCAGAGATACCCGAGTACTAAATAGCGGCCTCGAGTAAGTGCCATAGCGACCAATGGAGTGAGAGATCCCCCATGGTCGGCTGCGGTGTGATGCACCTTGAATAGGTGGATACCTACGGCTCCCAACTGGCACTATGTCCACAAACACGGACGCGGATAGGGGAAATGCAGCCAAGTACGTCGGATCATAGATGTGCAAATACTAAATCCCTACACCTGGTATTCTTTCCCTCGCAAATGAATATAAAAAGGATGGCAGCTGGTTGAGAAGGATAGAGCCAGAATCATGGCAAGTTGCAGAAGAATACCGTAAGTTTGCTTCCACTCTTGGGCACTCCCTCGGTCCCTCGTTTGCTGGAATTGATGCACCATCGCTCTTTAACCTTGTCCAAATATACAGCAGCAACTGCTGCCCCTTGGTTCATGTGGCGGATGGCCGAGCGGAAGTACTGTACTCGAGTATCTGGCATGAATGGTTGGGTGTGCGGATGTGCAACATTCTGGTATGGAAGGGAGAACATTTCTCGGTGTCACCATTTTGTTTGTTTGCCACGAAGAGGAGGCACCACCAGGGAGCATTAGCCCTAATATGTCCAGAAAATTACAACTGAGATGCGATCCCTTGCACCAAGACAATTGGATATGGTACAATACTCGCATAAATTCTCGCACGTGTATCAGTATTGAATTGGAATGGGTGAATTCTGTGAACACTTAGTGTCCGCATCAGGTTAATAGCATCGTGTTAGATAAGGTTCGCAAACCAACCTCAAGATATGGGGTTCATCCAAGTGAACGTATATGAGAATGGGGAACCTCTGGCAAAGATACAACGGATACTGTATACAGTATCGCAGCTCAACATCTGCGTAGTTCTTGATCTTACCAGCCTTTACCGTTTTGGGGTTTACAGGGCAGTCAGAGCCTGATAAGTTATCGCGGCAAGCGGGAGGCGTCAGTCAGCAAGCAAATCTCATCTCTCTCCCCAAGGTTCATCCTGCCAGTTTTCGCTTCATCTTGTGCGATATGCCACTCATAGCCATAGCCGACTACCGTCGTACTGTACAAGTAGCGAAGAAGAAGAAGAAGAAGAAGAAAGGTTCCATACTGACGATACGATGAATCCAGAACTGTGAAGAGCTGTGGAGATTCGAAAAACGTTTCAATCTGATACTAACTGCAAGAGACTATTGAGGGAGGTTCTACCAGTGGCGTGAGCACTGCCCAAAAAAAGTGAGAGGGACCTTTTGCTCAGTGGGCCAAGGTTCCCCCCCCTTTTTTTAACGACTGAACTGAATTCTGGAGTGATAACCTGCCCTAGTCCATCCATGTCTGTCTCATCCCCCCGCGAGTGGTGGTGATTGACCACCACAACGGAAGATTCCCCTCTTCCGAAACCCCCTATCATAGCCCGTCGTAGCATTGCCTCAACAAAGGTGTTTTTATGTCAGACGGTACCAGAGCGTGTCGCACACCGCCCGCTGCGCTAACGTTTGCCTTCCCGCTCGGGCCACATCTCATCCCTTCACAATCTTCCTTGCCAGCCCTTATTGCCGACCTCCCGCAATATATCTGCGGCATTGAAACAAACTTCCCCTCATTCGTCCGGGCGACTCGTCACGAACTCTCCTCCTCTTCTCCTCCCCATCTTTCCCGCCAATGAATGGCCTTGTGGGCCCAAGACCATGAACCCTACACCTTGTGACAAACCGTGCAGAAGGGAAGGTCCACATTGAAATAAATGAACAGACTACCGCTTTCTCACCCTTCCTCATCCTTCTTTCTTACCGCCTCTTAAACTCCCGTTGATGTGTTTTGACAAAATAAATAAATAGAAATCATGAGGGTGGTGAGTGAAAGAATGGGGACATCAAACGAATGTACCGTCATCTCTCCTTCTGGATCCAGACCCCCGATCTTGCATGTTGTCCCATGCATGTTTCGGTTCTGCCCTGATCACGTGGCCCCCGTTTTACGAGGGTGTGTGTGCGAGTTTTTTCGCGCTCACTTTTGTGTGTCCACAAACGGAAAAACATTTTTGTCTGGCTTTCTTTCCTAATCAGGGGGCAATTGCGAATCCATCAGAGGCCTTTGGTTCCAAGAACAAAGCTCTGCCACCAGGCCTTTTAAGTTACCGTACGGGTCTTTCTGTTCTTTTTTTACCGCTCTTGCGAATTTGAAGAGGTCCCACATACCCAAATTTTGGGAACGCCCAAAAAAAAGGCATGTCTTTCAGGATTCCAGGACATCTCTGGACAAAAAGGGGTATCCATTTTAGGTGAAGTGCACTGCAAGGATCCTGCCGATCGCGAAAGCTTGGAGGGGACAAATGGATTTGCCTAGCTTCCTTCATCTACCTAAAAAGGGTTGAGGGAGGCTCAACAGGCTCTAGCTTTTTTATTTGGGGTTAGGACACTCCTTGCCGACTACTCGAGTACTTCTGTGCCAGCGCGGCGAGAGGTGATACAAGCATTTTGGATTGTCTAGGATCCTCCAGTCGGATATGCCCTATTGGTTGAATGCAATAGTAATCGCAAAGATGCGATCAAATCAGTTGATCTCGATGTTTTGATGGGTTAATGAGTGTCATGGGCCCTGACCACGTTGCTAACGACCGCTCGTAAGTTGCACTGGGTGACAAATAAACGCCCAGGCCTAAGGAAACTGACCTCCCGTGAGAACCATTATAGTGACCTCAATTTTTCTCAAAGGGGTTATGCTAGAAAACTCACCTAACTCCTGAGTGTGCAAGTGGGGTATGACAAGACTGAAGTTGTTTCTCGTACTGGATGCTTATTTCAGGCTTAATCTCTGGGTTGTGACTAGCGCCAATGACGAGTGACTTTCCATGAACAAGCGCGGTCTATTGAAGGGTAGATTCTGGAGCTCTTATGTGCCAAATGTTAGGCGACTAAGATTGAGGGATGGAAGATCTGTTTGACATCGGCTTGCTCACCTACCGTACTAGCTGGTGTGATAATTGGATACGGTGGCCGTTATCGAGCCTTGGCACAATGGTCTCAGCGTTATATGCGCGGTGGAGGGGGATTTGCAGGGCTGCTGAATAATGCTAAATGACTTGTGCAGTTAATGGGGAGGGTCGCTCCTAGTATCCTATATAGGGGATAGTAATCTCTCCTTATCAATGGTTCGCAAATTTTTATATCTGTGGTCTTGAAATAAGAGGGCAAAGCCTTGGTTAACACTTTGAGAGGGCTCGTGCCATATCGGGTCGAGGTGGAGAATAGCGGAAGGTGCGTCTATAGACCCGATTAATGAGTGCGGGTCGGAAAACGAAGGGGAAAGCTTTAAAGAAATCTAGGGACTCCAAATGGCATACCACCGGAGACCCTGCAGCTTTCATACTTAACGCAATAAACCCAGCAGCATGCGGCACATCGAAATGGGCTCGAGTGCTTCATTGTTGAAATCACGATACCGTGGAAACTCGAACAATTGAACCAAGTGCTATGTAGTTGGAGTTGCCTGGGCAGCTCCCCTTTTGCTGTGCTTTTCGCTCATTCCTAGAATAGGGAGTTTTGAGTTTCTGCTGTATGTGATTTATATAGTTCAACCTACAGCTAAGCGATCCATCGAGACAGTGTTTGCCAAATACTCATGAACTTTCATGTAAGGCATCTTCCCTACACCCAGCCATGCACCGTGTCCGATGGTCCGATGGTCCGATGACTCTGATTGTGTTAACCTGACTCTACAACAAGTTAGAAATTTATTTATGCCTGAAAATTCGGGATTTGCAGGGGTGTTTACTTGGTAGAGAGGCGATCGTCAGCCATTATTTGTGCTATATGTCAGCGTGCATGGGTGACCGGGAGTGAGTGAGTGAGTGAAGCTACCGGGAGAGTGAGCGGACTTTTTATGATGCTGGCCAATTGGCAATTGGTGCTTGTGTTCGGTACTAGGAGATAAGCATGATCCTGCGAACCCTACGGTAAGCGAAGCGATCAGCGGAGCCGGACACCGCAGGAGCAATTATAGACGCCGAGTTTTCTTTTTCTGAGAGAGTATGAGGTGTCAGCTAGGTAAACGTTGAGGATTTTCGATGGCCCCGGTGGCATATCGGGGAAAGGAACATTGATGGAACTGCAATAAGCAACTGGGCGAGATGTTGAAAAGCCTCCCACAGAATACAGGTACTTGTATGGTGGAATTAGCAGTGTGCTGTGTTGTGCAGTGCTCGTATCATATTACGATACCGGTTGGTTGGGCTTGGAGGCTACGGAGGACATGGTGTGTGGCGACATGGGGATTCCGAACTTGCCGAACACCGGGGGAGAGACTTGAGCCTCACACCCTCCCCCCCCCCACCCCCAACCTTGTTTTTTTTTATGACTTGAGTTTTGATAACTCTAACTCTCTCCCCAATCCATTATGATACATGTTGCTTTTTTTTTTTCCTTCTTTTTTTCTCGTATCCGGTGTGATACTGCGTTTTGTGGGCTTGTGATACTCGGGCAGGCTCCGTGAGACCTTACCAGAAGTTGAGAAGCTAGCCCGTCCTCCTGCGAGACGCAAATTAACTCTGAGGAATCCCAATCGCGTTTATGTCGGGTTCTGGTGGACTAGCGAGTGTAAGATATATCATATCTGCTCTGTCTTCCCTTACATATATGGTTGTGGTACTGAGCAGTGGAATGACCCAGCTCTAGGTATTCTGCTTGACTTTTCCGGCCTTTCAAAAAAAGCGACCAGCGGTCAATCCCTAATTGACCTGGGGTATGTTTTTGTCCTTATTCACGAAAGCCATATTGAGGTTGGACTGGTGGTGCATCCGCCGAAGCCTGAGCATGATGACCGAGATTGTTCAACCTTAGTGCACGGGCGGTCAGGTCGGGCGGGCTCCCTAATACTCGAGTATAGCGGTGAGAAAAATCTAATATCTCTCCAATAATGTGTTCCTTGTACCACCAGATTCCATCGTGTTAAAGCGGACTACCAGTACTACAAAATCTAAGACATAGATGTTTCTAAGCAGAGCTTGTTGAATAATACCAACCCCCCCCCCCCCGCAATCTCTTCTCGCTGAATTAACATCACCATCTTAAGAGTCCACCTCTCCGCAATCTACCCACTCACCTACGTATACCCAGTCATCGAACTTGGCTAGCATCTCTACACCTTTGTCTATATCCTCGCACAAAGGCTCCAGAGCCTTCTCCAACTCACTAGTGAGTGCGGTGATATTATCTAATGCTAGCTCAGACTTTGCGAGGGCTTCCTCATGGGCATTGAGAAGAGTGTCAATCTGGTTTTGGCTGTTTTTGGTTATGGGCCCCTGAGCTGTTGGATTGATAGGCTTTCCATTTGGCTGGTGGTGGTATTATTGCTGCTGGCGAGTGTGGTTGTGTCGTTCCGGGGTTTTTATTTTTGCTTTTTTCTCAGCGTGATGTGAGGGCTATGAGAGCGTTTTGTGAGGGTGTTTGGGAGTTGTAGATATAGCGAGGATTAGTTGTCCATGGGTTCAATCATATCCTTCTTATTGCCTTGCGCATCTTGGTCTTGCTTTCACGGAATATATCTAGCAGTCGGTGCACCTGCGGAACCCAAATAAATAAATAAAATTAAAAATTATAGTATATCAACCAAGGAAATGCTCCAAAACCTCCCGTAAATCCCTCAAACTGCTACCCGCTTGTAATGCCCCCCCTCCTCCCTGGCCGTCTCCCTGCTCTCATCCTAGCTCGTCTCTCTATCTCATCCTAGCCCGTTCGTCTCTCTCATCCCGGCCCATCTTCAATCCAAGCGCTAGTAACTTAGACCTTAACCCCCCTCAACTCCAAATCCTCCGCGATCCCATGCATCTCATCGTACATCGGCTCCAGTATCCGATCCATCTCAGCGCTGAGTGCAGAAATGACATTCGGGGTCAGTCTAGGGTCGGCTACAGTGTTCCCGTGAGCTTCTAGGAGATCGCTGATATTCTTTTTGAGTTGGCTGTGGGCAGTTTTGAGTTGTTGGATTCGGGGATCTTGCATTTTGTTGGTTAGAATTGATTAATAGGTTGGAGGTGTGATTATGGAGGCGATGATGATAATGATGGTGATAGCTATGGTAGTGGTGGTCGATGTTAGGTTGGGGGTTGGGAGATGTAGAAGGAGGATGAGGAGGAGGAAGGGGAGTGATGGCTGTGTTAGTAATGAAGGTTTATATACTACTCCTTGCATGCTGGGCTAGTATCCAAAAAAAATTGAATTTGTAAGATGCAATGTTGTACGATTGAGGTGTAAGACAGTAAAACATTCAAGATCGCTGCCCTGCAATATATTGCTCTTTATAATGTCTTACACGCGTGGGTCCTTCTGCGGTTTTGGAATATTCAGTTTATTGCTTCGTTGGTGAGGTGTGATACTAGCTCGTGGCTTAAGCGTGACGTATCATACACTAACGAAACCAATATCCCGTTCCCACAAGTGACAAGGTTAAGCACGACTACCTGCCTGAGACTCAGAATACTTGAGGTGCGTGTATTCTTCTAACTCGCGGGGTTGGTATATACATACAACCTGTGGGCGCGGTCAGGATCACGACTAGGTGCCACTGCCATAGCGCACAGTTAGCTACGGTTGTGCTGGCATATCATAACAACGCACCTGCTTTCCACTCTCCTCCTCCTCCTTACCATCTTAGGGGAAACACGGTTCGAGGTTTCAAGTTCGAACTTCCCGCTTACTCATGCGTCATCACTCGGTATAAAATCACCGATATTTGAATAAACCCGGCATCCGGGCTCTGTCTACTCAGAAGCGCGCATAGACAAAGGTAGCACAGAGATGTAGTCCGCGGGAGGCTATCGTACAAAAACTCACCATCGTCCTAGCTAGAAAGTCTGTTTGAGGGCAGTCCATAGCTGGTAGGGGTGCTATCTCTATAGTTTTGCCTACTGTGGTTAAGTAAAGAAGGAAGGGGAAGAGAACTCCGGCTCCGATGATGTACCCGCGAAATGCCCATGAGGGTATACCATCAGTCTATGCGTCATCCCCTGGATGCCTGGGGTGTGTACATGGTGAGTTAATACGCAAGTTTTACTACAGATTCCTTCCTGAGATATAGGAAAGACCCAAAAACTTATTGTTCTATCATGGAAACCCACTATAAATATCTTTTTTACACATGAGATCGATGGATCGGACTCTGCTTATCTTGGAAAGTAATGAGTTTTATTGAGAAACAACTCCCGGTCCGACCTGTCCTGATCATGTGATCTCGAAAACCTGGCATTCTACGAACATCTACACGCCGTCATGCTGTTAGACACAACTCCACCTGACATACCGATTGTCTGTGCATGCCCAGTAGTAGTGTCTACGGTGCTTCGGTTGCCTAGAAAACTATTGTACAATGCAGCCACTGCTATGGCTTTTCTTCCTTTTCTCCGGTACCGTGTATGTGGCCAAGGCATGTGGATTCCTGTGGGCACTGAGGTTGCCGTTATTACTGATCCCCTCCTTTACCAAGCGCGCGCGCGCGGGGGGGGGCTTGGCGATGTTGTCTCATATATGCTCTGGGCTTAGAACAAATCGTGCCAATTGTGAAATACAGGTAAAGGTGTGAGTTTGCCATTGTAATAAGACTAACCGTAGACCTTCCTGCCGGAGCGAGGCAGTGTAGTTGACTGAGTTAGCCCGCAACCAGCAATAACAGACACTATGTGTAAGGAACCCCAGTAAAGTACATGCTCACATCATCAAATATTCCACATTATCCCACCAAACCCTCGATATAGTGAATTATTCGGTTGCACCGAGAGAGCCCAAGCCCTGAACGGAACTTTGCCTTGGAAGCCCAGTGAGAGTACGATATCATGAAAAGGATAGCGCATGGAATCAAAGGCCCAGTTGCGGAATGAGGGGGATCAGAGATCTCAGCACTCTAATTGAGAACAGGTGGTTGAAAGCGGGGGGTGACTAACTTACAAAGGATGTGTAGGTTAAATTTTGAGATAACAAATATCATAGAAGAATTGATAACCTTCATAATATTATGATACCTGATCCTTAGTGCAACAAAGTGGAGTAGTGGGGGTAATTTGTGAGTGATAACTCATGCTCTAGATCACTATGGTTGATGCTCTCTATTAGATTAAATGTTTATGCAATCGGGTTAATGGGAGTTTCTCAAAGGCTTCTTGGAGAGAAGAGGTTGTGTGAGGAGTATCATGCTATGGTGGGCAGTTGGAGGAACAATCCAATCTGTTGATGGCGTGATTTGGTTCCATCTGAGTGCGGATCGGGAGGGAGGAGGCCGGTATGATAGATATTCACGGCGGTTAAATTTTCACCTCCAAGATCCAATTGTGATAGAAGAGATTCCGGCGGCTATCATAACCTTTCGGTACTCGAGTACAGGTGCTACCGGTACATCCGTCGCACCATTAACCTTCCCTCATCTCTCTTGTCTTGCTTCCTATCAAGTAATCGTTCGTACTGTAAGTAATCTAACGCCTCGCCCTGTAGTGGCTGTGGGCTGTGGTGTACTCGAGTAGTAACGCGCCAAAACCATTGCACCAAATGCGCTCAGGACTAACCCAGCTACGTACCTAGATATGATGTAACAAGTTGCAAATACGGGTATCGGCTACCCCTCTCACGCAATCTCCTTTGCACTCATGTCCAACTCAACATTTCCAACAGCTGCACATACCTGGCCAGACCAGACTCCACTTATCAGGAGTAAAAACATCGAATTCGACTATTCTACAACTCCACCATCCATCCATCAATTCCAATTCCAAGACCTCATCTCACCCCCAACACCTATTACAGCCAGCAAAAGGTGCTAGAAAAGATGGAAGAAAAGACAAACAGGGGAATCCATAAATCATGACGCTCACAGCTTACACTAATCGTAGGTGGGAGGGAAAGAGAGCAAAAGAAAAGAATAGAGAAAAAAACGAGAAATGTGCGGACAAATTCATTAGAAAAGTAACACCCTTGCCAACCCCAAGTTAAAAAAGAAAAACCCCCCCAGAGGAAAAGAGGAGACGAAGAAATGTTTTGTTTATGAAAAGAAAAAGGCCGCCTGCTTGATGAATCCATCCAACGTGAAAAAAGGAAAAGGGAAAAGTTTTTATTAAATATTTAATATGGCCTCCCACGATCAAGCCCATCATAATAACGTCTCTGAGTATACTGCCCTCGAGGTGGTGGAGTGTGGCGGTTCCCCGGCTGCGGTTGTGGAGGCGGCTGCTGTCCATAGTGCGGATACTGCTGCGAATGATGCGAGGGCTGTGAAGGTGGTATACTAGATGGAGGCACATAAGGGCCACTTTGTGGTCCACCAGGACGATAAGGCGAGCAAGTCTGCGGCCGTGGGGGGTAATGGCTATGCTGCCCTTGAGCATAGTTGGAGGGCTGCAAGGTGGAGTGTGAAGTCGGTGTATGAGATCCCGATAAGCCCTGCTGTGATTGCGAATGAGGAGGAGGAGTAGAGTATGGTGTTTCTCGAAGGGCAGGAGTGTACAAAGACTCTCTGGGTTGGAGATAAGGCTCGCGGGGAGGCGTGGAGTAACTACTCGGCTCACGCGAAAGTTGAACAGAGTCATATGGCGGTGGACCGCCTCTACTCAGTGGACTCTTCGCCATCGAGGGCCGCTGTTGGTGGCTCTCATGTTGTAGGTCGTACGTTACATCCCTTCTTGATGATTCTCCTGGTATAGGGGCATGTGTACTTGATGATTGAGAGTGCTGATGATGATGATGCATGGGGTGCGGATGATGAGAGTGCGGCGCATGCTGCAGATGTTGAAGGCTACCATGGTGGGAATGGTGGGGGGGTTGCGATCGATGTTGCGGGGGATGCTGGGTAACATGCTGAGCAGCAGCAAGTTGGGAAGAGGCGTGCTGGAGAGGCGTGTGTTGCGGGGGTGGCTGTTGCTGAGGAGTTTGGGGCCTTGTCTGAGGAGGTATATGGTGTGGAGTGGACCTACTCTGAGGCCGGGAAGGGATTTCCTCTTTGGCAGGATTAAGCAGTGAGTTAATGCTCGTTGGCTTGGATTTTGAGGAATCTGGGGCCGCAGTCGACTGCGACTGCACTGGAGGAGGTACGTGAACTGCAGCAGCTTGAGGAGGCAAGGATGGCTGACGTGGTATCTGTGGCGTAGAACCCAGATGAGATGGCGGAGGAGGGTTATATGGCGTGTTCATTGGCTGCCCTGAAGATGGTGCGGACATGGGACGTGAAGACGGAGGAGCCAATGGCTCCGGAGCTCGAGAAGGCTGAGGCTTCTCAACCGGTGGAGCTCTAGGTTGCTGGCCGAATGGTTGTTGCTGTTGTGGGTATTGGGCATCAAACATTGGTATCGCTGAAGGGCTAGACAAATTGCGATGGTGGAGGGGCTGGTTGGTTTGATGCTGTTGGTTGTAGGAACCTCGTCCCTGCTGTTGCTGCAATTGCTGCTGCTGCTGCTGCTGACTCGGATGATGAATCTGTTGGGCGTGTGTCTGCTGTTTCGGAATGGTGATCTGCGTTGATATAATTTTGCCTTGAGGAGCCGACGTACTCGAAACTGGTGTATGGGGAGATGGGGATGGCCCCTGGAGAGAGGGAACCGATGGGGCCTCACGGCCCATACGCCGTTCATGAGGCGTGCGAAGTCCTTCATGAGATCTCTCTAGGCTTCTATCCTGCAATGATTTCTCTGATCTCTCTTGCATCCTCTCTTGCCTTACCCTGTGAGGCCTCTCAATCAATGGCCCGCCGGACGGTTGTCCCCCGACTGCCTGTCTCTCGGGCATTCTCACATCACGTGGTCTGTCTAAGGGGACGTCGCGCTGCCTTTCTAGTGTTCCATCGCGTGCCCCCCCGTAAGCTCTTTCAAATTGCTTGGCGAACTCACGAGATCCTACCTGCGGCCCACCCCCGTGAGGCCTTTCCAAATGTTTCACTGGTCCCTCAATTTGCCTCTCGCTGTGTCTACTGTCCATCGGCCTCTCCACTGGTGCCTCCACCTGCCTCCCCACCTGCCCACTCACCTGCCGCTCCAGCTGCGCACTATGAGTTCTGTCATGACTGCTCTCCAGCTGCCTCTCAGGCCGTCTTTCAGGCCGTTCACTGTGTGTCTCCTCAGTCCGCTGAATAAAACTCCTATGCACTGGTACGGGAATAGGTGCTTGCACAAGCGGCGGCTGGGCCTGGACCTGCTGTGGAGGTTGCTGCGAAGATGGTGGTACGCGAGGATGTGAATGAGAGGGGACAACCACCGGTGCAGGCGGTGGTTGTGGCTGTTGCGGATGATGTGGTTGCAGCAGTGGTCGTGGATGCTCCTGCTGCAGATGCTGTTGCGGATGCTGATGTTGCGGATGCTGTTGTGGATGCTGCTGTTGTAGATGCGGTTGTGGATGCTGCTGATGGGGGTGCTGCTGTTGCAGATGCTGCGGCTGTTGATGTTCTTGTTCTCGTTGCTCTCGCTGCTGTTGTTCCCGCTGCTGCTGCTCCCGCTGCTGCTGCTCTCGCTGCTGTTGCTCCCGCTGCTGTTGCTCCCGCTGTTGCTGCTCCCGCTGCTGCTGCTCCCGCTGCTGTTGCTCCCGCTGCTGCTGCTCCCGCTGCTGCTGCTCCCGCTGCAATTGCTCTCGCTGCTGCTGCTCCCGCTGCTGTTGCTCTCGCTGCTGCTGCTCCCGCTGTTGTTGCTCCCGTTGTTGTTGCTCCCGCTGCTGCTGCCGCTGCAGTGGCGGCATATGTTTATGGACCACGGGCACTTGGCGTAATGGCTGTTGCCGAATGTCCTGGAACTGGGGTTGTGGGGGTGGCACCGGCACAGGGGGTGGGCTGTAGGCAGGCTGTTGCTTAATTGGAGCAACATCATCCTCCAAGTTGATAACTGGGCGAACTGGTTGCGCCGACTGCAAAAGCATAGCTTGGGACGGCAAAGGAAGCTGACTTGGAGGCAAAGTTTGTGGTGGATCCTGTGGAACAAGCATACGCTGAGGTCCCCCATTCTGGTTTTCGTACCTCTTCTTTGGTAGAGTAGCAGGCTTGGGTGGTTCGGGCGTGGGCTCACCAGCTCGGATCTTGCGCTCCGCATCTTCCGCAATTTGCTTGAATTCCAATTTGCCATTGTCGACCTGGCGCTGATAGAAATTCCTCACCTATATATATATATATATATATATATGTTAATTGCCGTCAACACGAGCTAGAACAAGAAAAGAGAACGTACCATGACTGTGGTTTTGGAGGCAAGCCTTCCTGCGATCGCTGCCCAGTTTGTTCCATAGGCTGCGAGAAGATGAGGAAAGTCATTTTGTTCAGGCACACTCCAGTAACTTGAGGTCTGTGCGACTGGTTTTTCCACCACGCCTCCTCCTCTGTCAGTTTTCTCTTTCTTGATGATTGCATGTATTGGAGGGGGTTCGACTGAGGAAGCCGGTGGCTGCGGGAAGGGCGGGATAGGGATTCCAACCGGCGCAAGTGGGAGAACTGTGGATGGGGCAATTGGAGGGGTAGGGATTGTGATGGGCTTCTTGTCCTCAGTCGCGGCGGACGGTGTCAATATTGGCTGAACCGGTTGTGGCGCTGCCAATGGGGGAGTTGGTAATTGTTCCGCAATACCGGACAATCCTGTTAATACGTGCACAGCATCTGTCTCTCGATCGCCTAGATCCTCCTTCTCTTCCTTTTCCTTCCCGTCCACCTTATCCGGGACAGGCACCAACACGGGTTGAGCAACCGGTACGTTAGGCGGAGGCGTCGGTTGAACAGCAGGTGTAGCTGGAGCTCTGGCTCTCTTCTGACCCCTCTCCCGTCCAACGTTGTTATTCCCTCTTGTCCTCTTAGTTCCTCCAGTTCGACTCTCATCATCATCCCCCTTGCTGCCCCGTTTTCCAGAGGCCTCAGAGTCCTGATTATTGTTTGATTCGCCCCCAAAAACGGGAGCAGCAGCCCGTTTGGGTCGCCCACTATCTGTCATGGCAGTCGGCATCACATCTTCAGAATCTGCATCTTCCTCTTCTCCGCCCCTCCTTCCCAGATCGGCAATTAACGCGCTCTGCCTCGACTTTTGGGGGTTCGCCGCCTTTCTCCTTTTCCCCCTCCCCCTCTTTCCACCACCTCTCTGAAGCTCTTTGTAACCTTGCGCCTTCTTAGTCATATAGTAGTGTAGGATACAAGCTTTGAAATCTCTCCCTTGGATCCCTTGAGCAATCTTCCCCCATTGCTTGGGGAACTGCATGTAGCGATCACAGAACAACTTTTGCTCCGGCTCCGTCCAATCATCTGGGGGAACATCGTAAAGGAATGCGCTCTTGATTTCGTCGTCTGATCGCAGGAGTCGGTTTGTGTCCCGGAAGATGAGGCGGTCACCGGGGTCGAGTATCATCGCCGGCACGTACGCTTCTTTAACCCCCGGCGGCTTGCTTCCCGAATCGGCTTTCTGCTCATCCTGTTCAGCGAGGTTCTTTATTACTTGCTCCAACTCTGCCTCGCTTCTCACCACATCACTTGCTCTAACCGCCCTTCTTCCAACTGCTGTTGGTGTCTCAGCGGCCGTGGATGCTGTTACAGCTGGAGATGCCCCATTTGTATCGGCAGGCTCCGAATTGCTCTTTTTCTTGCGGCTAGATTCCTTCTCAAGTTCAAGGCACCGCTCATGCCAAGGCTCAAAGTACTCGCGGTATTTCCGTTTCAAGTTCGTCTCTCTCTCAAACGTGGCTTGCCTTTGAGCAGATATCTGAGCAACCACCAACTCTCTGATACCCTCGTGATGTTCAATGTTGCTATGGAAGAAGTCGTAATCTGTTGGCTTCAATGGCGGCCCCGGGCGGTAGAAAGGTAGGCCTGGATGCGCTGAGATCATCAAGTGCTTGATTGATTCATCGGACTCCGTTTCTATTGAGCCATCGTCCGATGGTGTACGTGATCTTATTGGCGAAGAGGTGGGTGATGGCGAGGTGGTAGGAGTCCGGGGCCTGTCGGGGAGGTCTAAAATGTCTTCTTCCACTGGTTTCGGTTCTGAATTTAACTGTTCAGCAGGCTGCTCACCATGATCAGCTCTCTCCTGCCGCTCCTGCTGCTCCTTTTGTGCTTGGCTCTGAAGTTGTTCCACCTCATTCGTCGCCTCGGGGAGGTCAAGATCCATTTTTTCGGGTTCGGGGAACTGTGCCACCACAGAAACTTCTTCTACCAGGGGTGTTGCATTCCTTGCTCTTAATTCCTCCTCTTCAATCCTCTCTAACTCCCCTTTATGTTGCATCCTCGCGCGATCTAGCTTCTCCAACCTTTGTTCCAAACTTTGGATGTCACCATCGATATCTGCAATCTTTGAAATAACGTCTGCCTGCGTGAGGGATACATCGTCCTCATCCTCTTCTTCGATCTTGACAACGGGTGGGGGTTGAGACACTGTTGGGATCGGAGCCGGAAGCGGAGGTGAAGACTGAATCGTTTTTCCAGCATGGGACTCAATGTTCTCCTGGACTCGTAAAGGTTGTTCAAGGGTGGTGACTATGTCTTCCTTTTTCTCATCCTTGGGTCTAGTATCCAGCATGTCCACATCACTTAAACCTTCTTTTGTAGCCAGTCTATCGGGCTCAGGACCGCTCCTACTCCCTCGCCTTCCTCTATCCATACTACCTCTTCCCATCCCCCCATCTACTCCACCCATGATAGCCCGACCAGCGCTCCGGTGACCCACATCGCTCCCCCCCTCGAGGGTCCCAAAATTGTTTCGAGAACGATATACACCACCACCGCCGCCGCTGCCGCCACCGCCCCGATTCCTGAACCGACTTCTAGTCTGCAGAGCCCTTGGTGCAGTTGGCGGCTGAGCTTTTGTGGGACTTCCACTCGGACCGGCAGGGGCTGTCGGAGCAAGTGGTCCCGCGCCAGACAATCCGGATGTAGGAGCATTAGGCGAGTTCTGGGAGCCCCTGAACCCTTGACCCGACGAACCGGACCGGGAAGGAGCCAAAGGGGTAGCATTAGTGGTAGCACCAGATGTTCTTGTGGAAGGGATAGCGGAAGTGGAGCCGTGCTCCATACCAGCAGACTCAGCCGTTCCAGATGACTCTGCACTTTCTTGGGAGGTAGGGAACTCAGATGAAATACTCGCTTGTGAAATGTGATGTTTGTTGTCGCGGTCATCAACCTTTTCAATCCCTCTCATTCTGTCAGGATGGACACTTCCAATTTCCAACCATGTCTGGTGACTTTGAGCTGGTGTTTGAGTGTTCCAATACTCGGCTGACCCACCACGATCCTTCGAGACACGTTTCCTTTCGGTGTCTTTCCGATCCGCTCCGTGTCTAGGTCCAGTAGGTGGTGGCCCCCCTCTAGGCCCGGTCGGTGGATTAACACCAGTTCCCGACCTAGGTCCAGAAGGAACCTGAGCCGGAGGTGGTGAGTAAGGCCTGGATGAAGTCGCAGAGATCGGCGTCGCTCCTGTACTGGGAGGCGGAAGTGCTGACGATGGCGTGTTTGTAGATGCAGATTTAGAGTCTTGTGTTAGTGGAGAAATATCATCTGTAGGCTCCTTCTTCAGCATCAGTGGGGCTCTATCGCTGCTGCGAGTATCCAGACGATAGTCCATTTTCTGTGAGACATCCCTGTGAGGGACCTTGTCCCTATCATGATACGTAATTTGAGGCAGGGCGCCAGCGGCACCCCCACCCATGGTTCTTCTGGCAGCTGGAGTGGACCGTTGGCTAGGACCAACCAGTGGTTGCTGAGAGGGCGGGCGGCCGGGCGGTTGGGTAGCAGATCCAAACGTACTTGCACTGCCGGAAACACTGGCAGGTTGATAGTTACCATGATAGGATGGGACAGGAGGTGGGCTCGTCGATGTCGGATCTTGATGAGGTTGGGCCGCACTAGAAAATCTAGCTCGTTCAGCTTCACGGCTGCGATTATATCTAACCGGGAGCAAAGAGGGTAAAACAGGGATTAGCCATTCCGCTCCAGAGAAAAAAAACAGGAGGGTTCATGCAACAAAACTTGGAGCGGAGAGAAACATACAAAACAGAAAGAAGATCCAGAAAACGTGATAAATAAATGAAAAAAAAAAATTTCACGAAAATACCAACAAACTAGCGAGGATTTCATGTCACACGGGATCACACTTACTCTGCAGCGTCTCTTTCTCTTTCTCTCCTTTCACGTTCCCTATCACCCCGACTGGGCTCATAACCTCCCTCCCTTGCATCTACTCTTGGTCTCTCTGCAGCTCTATCTCGCTCTCTTTCGATAGACATTGATATCCGTCTATCACCGCCGCCGCCAAACCGCTCTCTATCGCCCATTGACCGCCCACGTCCCCCCTCCCCTTCCCTCTCCCTTTCCCGCTCACGCTGTAATCTTTCCCGATCTCTTTCCCGCTCCGTCTCTCGCTCTCTCTCTCTCCTTTCGCGCTCAACCCTCAACCTCTGTCTTTCACGTTCTCGTTCGGGCTCCCTCTCCCTCTCATCCCGTTCAAAAACAGATCTTCGATCACCTGAAAAATTCATACCACGTTCTAGCCTATCCCTCTCACCTCTCCCGCTAGGATACGAAGGAATCCTCTCGCGCTCTCTTTCGCGTGATGTGGATCTTGTCCTATGCGGAAACACCTCTCTATCCCTCGATCTACCCCTATATCCTCCTCTCGGTTCCCTAAACTCCCTGCTCCTTTCAAGGTCCCTATCTCTAAAACTGCCCCCACGCGGCCCATAGTCATACTCCCTTTCCCTACTTCGCCCACTTCCTCGACCAGACTCCCACTCGCCTGATCTTCTCCTCCCGGATGCGCGGTATGGGTTCATATCGCCTGCAATCGGATAACTCGATGCAAACATCTGGCCGCCAGAAGGTGATATACCAGCTCCACCTGGAGTGGATACCGGAGATCTGATGGGATTTGCAGAGGGTAACAGTGGAGCACCGCGCCCTACACTCCCCCTTGGACCCGGAGGAGGTTGGGAGCCCCGCGAAGCAGCATTAGCTCCGGATTGCGGGTAATGATGGCCGTGACCATGCCCGCCATGATGGGAAGATCCGACAGGAGCTGAAAACGATAATTTATGGGGCGAGTGAGCAGCCGAACCGCCACCACCAGCAGGCCCTG